CCTGAAACACTCTCAATTTCCACAGCACAGCCCAGACAGGCGAGGCAGAAGCCCACGTAATTGGGCCTAATACTGCTATGGAAACTATGCCGAGGGCTAAAAATATGCTTTAAAAAGCAGAGTCTTTTCTTGTGCATATTTCCAAGCTGTGTATGAGAAGATGGAGTGCTATGGAGTAGTTAAGATGACGGGAAGATGCTCTGTGACAGCAGTTGCCTCTGAAGCACAAACCTTCTGCTTTCACAAATGTTTCAAATGCACCAGAATTCTCTTAGGAGAAATTTGATTATTTGTCATCTTGTGAGTTAGGATGAATGCACACACACTTAACCACTAAGAAAGCTATTAGCAAAACCAGCTGCTTAAGCCAGGCTACTTTACAACTGTGGTTATTTTTTTTTTTTAAAGACACCTTTGCAACCAGTTTCTCAAACCAGCGGTCCCCACTGACCTATCACTGTGGAACTGTGTTCAAAAGTCCCTGTCCAAATACTAAATGTGGTTGGAGTCCAGTGGCACACTGCGTGCTGCATGGTACTGTCACTGGATTTGCTAGCACAGCATTAGTAGTTGAGGATCAGGGCCAGGAGGAGAAGGTCAAGGTTTGCTCCCATGCCTGCTCCGATGTCAAGAGCTGGACTGCAGCTTGGCAGGGGTCACCGGGGTTAAACATGCAATGTAGTTATGGATTGAGTGGATGGGTTTTCTAATGTTATGATTTGGGTATGTTATAGGGCAAATAATATGCAGTGTGTTGGAGGCATCAAGGGATGCTCCCTTGCAGGTAAGCTATTGGCCTCCAAAGGTGCATCCTCTGATGTGGAAAGCGTTTTGCATTTGAAAAGTGCTACAACCAACAATGTGCAGGATGAGTGACAGTGCTGTCTCACTGATGCTATGATGAAAGGAAATGGGTTAACAAATAGAGTAGCAGAAAAAACTGTGGCTAATAGATGATGTTCCCCAATATGCAGGCTAGGAAATGGGTCAAAAGAGAAATGTTTTACATGTTATAATTTTGTTAAGATTTATTTTTGTATTTTAAGCACCTTCTTCCCAGTTTATTCAAAATCATATGGCAATTCTAAGGCTTTTACACGTTTCTTTGATTTCAGCCCACACCTTCACATCAATCTTTGCAGATCATCCTTAGGAAACCCTTTTCCCTGCTTAATTCTGTCATCTACGCTGAAAGAACTTTGTATGCTCTTCACCATGCTAGGAATGTCTCTGGCCCATTCAGTCTCTCTGCATGTCAGTCTCAGCAAATCCTCCAAATATTTTTGTTGCTTTCCTTTGAATTGATTCCTTACTGCCTTACTTAACCTGGAATTGGCAGAAATGAGAAATAAGCTACGGTGTCATTACTGTGCTTCATGCTGGGGAGATAATTTCAAATTTTTGCTATTGCTTGTCACTTGAGGTCACTCCCTCAGCTATTATCTACCAGGTAAATTACTCCTCTGAGCTTTTTTCCTCCTCGCTGGATTTCTGAGCTAATATGTCTGAATGTTTTAACCACTATTTTCTTTAATTAAATAGTAACTTTATTTACTGCTTGTCCTCTGCTCAGAGGAGGCTGTGTCGTATCCTCTGTTACAACCAACAGGAAATGTTTCCTGTGGGTAAACACCTTTGAACCATATCAAAATGTTATCCAAATGTATGCTGTGTTAGCTTCACAAATGAGGAAAATTGCTCTCAGGGTTTGCTGCTAGAATGAACAGGAATACTCAAATAGAGTCAAGATTGGGGTGTCTGGTCCTCAGTTCTCCCGGGGAAAGCATTACCCAGCAACAAATGAAATGGAGTCAACATAACCATTTAAAATAGCACAGTAAACAGTTCATGGTGTAGTCAAGATAATCCTTAATTTCTGCTGCTTATCTGAGATCTGCAGATCTGATGGGAGGATTTAACCTTCCTGAAAGCTGTTATCAGTGGATGTGCTTGAACTGGGAAGACCTCTTTCCACCTGCTTTTCAGAGCCCTTTCTCCTATAAGATTAACGCTGCTATGCTCCTTTTAGAAAGAAAAACCTCTGAAACATGGATTATTTTGAGAGGAATAGACTACACATACTTTGCTACAGTACAGCTTAAGGAAAATACTTCAAAATAAAGTCCATTTAAAAGAACAATTTCTTATTTTTATTCTTTTATTGAAGAATCTTACCGCCTAATTGGTTCTCATAGTTCTTTTTTTTTTTTACAAAAATACATGCATAGCTGTGGAAATTAAAAGAGAATCATTGGTTTATGGTTACTGCCAGCTGCATAACAGACTCAAAGCTAGAGGGAACTTTGAAATTAAAATTTTGTAATTTTCTTTCTCTGTGCATACCATGCGAAACACAGTGGTGGAGCAGACGGCCTGTCTTCTGTTTTCAGTAAGACAATATCATGCTGCTCAAGAGGGAAGTCAAAAGGGGATTTCACTGAGATGTAGGATCAAAACAAAAACCGGAGGCACCTTGATATGTTTTACATATATTACTTTTCACAATAAATTGGCATATTTCTGATGCGCTCTCTTCTATGCTTCTTAGGGCCTCATTTAAAAGTTAAAAAAAAAGCCCATCTTTAAATTAAGATTCTCCGACATACTGATGCCTTTGGCAAGAGGGGAGAGAATCTCCATGTGAGTCTTCGTGTGCTTAGTAATTGCGAGAGCCTGTGGTGATGGCCTGAAATATGCAGCAAAAGTTTTCAGAACAAGGAATGAGTCACTACTGCCCTTGACCTTTGTGAATCTGAAACTATATTTATCATTTGCATTGTTCCCGAGTTGTATTTCTAGTACCACGTTCAGGGCAACTTGTCTTCTCTGCCCTGAGGAGCTGAAACACATATAAGGAAATTTCCAGGGAGATAAGATGAGAATTCATTTCCTGAAGTGAGTTTTAAGAGAACCTTTATTGAGGAACTCTTGCACTGGGAGATTATTGATGTGAAGCTGATAGTAAAAGGTTAAGTAAAGGAATAAGGCAATAGCATACAAGGCAGAAAAAGGAAATGAGTAAAAGAGTTCATGCAGGGTCAAGAATGCGTAACACAGGGTACTGTTATGAGAGGCAACTATTTTTGCCAATGTAGTACTTTTTCTTTCCCTCCCACAACCTTACATGTAATGTTCCGAGTAGAAACCAGAGCACTGAAAGGAAAGATCTAGATTGTTGCATTTTGCGTTCTCCCTCTTCTTCCCCCTACAGTAGAGGAGTCGAATTAGATGAGATTTTCAATCAGGTCAGTTGCTAAACAGCTGGTGTGTGAAAGAGTGCAGCTGTCGCACCACGAGTATCACCTTGGCAGGGCAAATCGGCGAGGAGCCCTGTGAAGGCCTGCAGGGCTGTGTGTTTCCTTAGTGGCCACATGCACATCAGGGACACGTACTCGCTGTCTGCGCTTGGAGCTGGAGCCCCTGCGAAAAGAAAGGAAAAAGTGGCTGAGATACTTCTGACTATGCAATGAGGAATGTTAAAAATGAGAAACGTTAGTATTGGGGTGTGGGATGGAAGTTATTGGCTTGCCAGCAAGTCTTAGCAAATGGAAATGTAGAATTAGTTCCAGAAAACGCAATAGGTAACTTAATAAATATGTGAGAACTGCAGGCACTTTGCATTTCTGTACGTGGAGTAATTGTAGCACAGGATTGCACATCCCACGCTGGTATTTTGAGTTTCCTCGTTCGGGGGAAGGAAAAGCACCGGTGAGCCAAGGCTCATTTTATAGGCATAAACTACTGGCTATCTTTGTATCTGCCTCCAAAGATTCCCATGGCTGCTGTGATCATTTCTTAGCAGAGAACGTAAGTGTAAGCAAAGGCTATTCTGAATGTGTATTTACAGTCATCATCTAAAGCTCAGGCTGCCTGGAAAACAACTAACAAATCTCCTGTGCTCGAGAAATGTACTGTGTCTCGATAGCTGAAATTTTCAGGATGGGGGTAGAGGAAATTAAAACGTCAATATTTTTACAGTGAAAGTTTGCAGCAAGACCCATTTAACCTGGAACTCCAACTTTCCGGACCCCAGATATAGGGAAGAGACCTAAAGAAATGATAAAATCGTAGAGTGGCTTGGGTTGGAAGGGACCTCGGGGATGATCTCGCTCCAAGTCTGAGTGCCCTGGGCAGGAATGCCAGCTGCTAAATCGGGCATGGATCAGGCTGCCCAGGGCCCTGTCCAACCTGGCCTCGAACTCCTCCAGGGATGGGAGTAAATCGTTCGTAAGGAAACGTAGCAGTGACAGACTCAGCAATCTGGAATTATCCGCATTTTGGCACGGAAACTTTTGGCTTGGGACGTGCCCGAGGTTCCGCTGGGGTGCAGGTGCTTTTGTTTCAGCCTCGTTCGGTTTAATTCCTGCGGAGCGCAGCGCTCCGCGCTTCGATGACGCGAGCAGGGCAGGGGGCAGCGTTCCGCCGCAGGACGGGGACGGATTCTCCCCTCGCGGCGTCGCTCCCATCCCTTTGTCTCCCGGCAGGCGGCGGCGCCCTCGCCCGCCGACGCGAGAAGCGACGGCTAGAAATGGCCGTCTCCATGGCAACCCGGCGGGCCGCGGCCCCGCACGGCGCAGCCCGGGCCGCGGGGACCCCCGGGCGCTCCCGGCGCCGCCCCGCAGGTGCCGGTCCGGCCCCTCGCCCCTTCCCCGCCGCGGGGACGGCGCTCGCTCAAACTTTCCCCCCTCGGAAAATGGAGGCGGCGAGCGGGGAAACGGCGGGGGGCGGGCCGAGCTCGGGGCGGTCCCGGCCCCGCCACGCGCCGCGGGCCCGCCGCTCCCCTCGGCGCGAGGGCGGTGCCGCCCCGCGTCCCCGCCCGCCTCCCTCCGCGCCCCGCGGGCGGCTCGTCCCGCGCCGGGAGTGGCGTCCCGGCCAGCCAACCGTCGCGCCGCCTGCCTGACAGTTAGGCCGCGGCGGCCAATGGGCGGGCGAGGGGGCGGGCGCAGCGGGCCGCGAGCGGCGCGGCGGGCCGGCGGCCGGGCAGTCGGCGGAGGCGCAGCATGATGCGGCTGTGGCGCGCGGCGCTGCTGCGGGAGCTGCGGCTGCTCGGCCAGCCGGGGGCGGCCGGCGGCGGGCCCGGGCCCGGGCCCGGCTCCCGCTCCCGGCGTCTCCCGCCGCGGCTCGCCGCCCTGAGCGCCGGCCCCGCCGCCCGCCGCGGTCCGGGCCCGGCGCGGGGTCTGTGCACCCGCTCCGAGGGCGCCCTGGAGGAGCCGGGGAAGGGGGCCCAGCAGCCGGCGGCGCCCGGCGAGCCCCCCGCCGACGGCGGCCGCAACAACAACCACGGCGGCGGCGGCAAGGAGCTGGCCGGAGGCGGCGGCGGCGGCGGGGGGGAGAAGTGAGTGCGGGCGGGGCGGCGGCGGCGCCATGTGAGCGTCCGCGGCCTCCTCACACGCGGGCGGAGCGGGAGGGGCGGGCGGCGCCCGGCAGGTGCGGGGCTGCGGGCGGGGCTCGGCACGATGCGGGCGGGCCGGGGGGGAACGCCGGGCGGGACGGCGGAGCGGGGGACGGGCGGGCCGGGGGTGCTGCCGCGGGACGGCCGGCGGGAGCCGTGCCGGGGGGTTGTATTGATTGACTGATCGATTTTCTCGCAAGAGTTGGAAGCCGTGTCGCCTCGCGTTAATGACGGAGGACGTCCGTCCGCGGGCGCGGAGGTGGCGGTGCGCGCAGTGCCGCGGGGCCTCGGCCACGGCCCTCGGCGGCCCCGGAGCACGCTGCGTGCCGACGGCTCTGCCCAGCGCTCTGCCTTGCTGGTTCTTGGCCTTAAGTAGCTCCTGAAGGAGCCCCGTTCGTCCTCCGCTCCCTTCCGCTTTGGTTTCTTGATGAGCGCGCTGAACCTTCCCCAGGTTGGACGGATAACTGCAGGCCTCGTGGAGATGCGTTTCCTTCGGCTGTGCTCGGATCGTGCCCCTCTTCTGTCTCCTAGGTGGCCCGTGAGTCTTCTCAGTGCTACCTCTGGGGTGGCCTAATTAAAACCTAATGCCGGGCTCCTTTCCCCGGCTTTGCCACGCCTCTTATCTAGATGAAGAGAAGCCAAAGAGGAAGCGAGGCGAGGAAAGAGTGCCTCGCTTTAACGCGCAGCCATGCCTTCATCAGCCTCATGTTAAGAGGAAGTCAGAAGAGATTCCACGAGGTCGGGCAGGAACTGCAGCTCGTGGCTTGTGCGTAGCTGTCCTTCAGAGAGGGCTTTTGGTGTGAACTTGTGCTCCTTCGGCCTGTGGGCAGGGGGAGAAGCTCCTTTGGTCTTTTTCCTCTCATCCCACCAAATGTCTGAGCTGCTGGGCTTGGGCCAAACCTTTTGTACGTTGAGATATGGGCTGCTTGTGAAGGCGATGCTGGTTATTTCAGCTAGCAGACTCCTTAATCATGCGTGTGCATCGGATTAGAGAACTATATAGGACATAGTGCGCATAGATAAATGATTATAGTTATACTATCTCTCATTATTTAGCCTTCTGTGTGAATTAGCTCTATGTATAATGTTTTGGAACAAAAAACATTTCTGGCTGTGCTTCAAATGGGCATGGCCTGAAGACTTACTTCCACTTTCAGTGAGAAACACAGACGTTGCCATCAAAAACATACAGGAAAAAAAAGCCCCAGTATGGCAGCTGTGGTGGTTGCAAAGGTGGTTTTTCAAAGAGGTAACGTTTCCTTTAACTGAGCTTTTAGAACAGCTCCTGCTGATCAGCATCAGTTAGGGGGGCCGTGGAATTTCTGATATGCGTGGGGAGACTGCATAGTCACAAACCAGTTAAACAGTTCTCACATTTTTGGCCTTTGACAGAAGTATGTGAAAGTCAGATAGTTGTGCTTTGAGCATTCCTACACAGTGAGTAAAGAACAATTGCATGAAACCTATAGCATGTAGTTACAAACAAGAAAAAAACTGAGAACTGTTTCTTTGCAGTTCAGGTTGGGCAGGAATTCCTGGTGGCACATCGGCCACACTCATTTAATTCTTCCACTATGGGATTGCAAACGTTTTACTTAAGCATTTGTACGTGGTACCTTACACGTAGAAATCTTTGCTGTGTCAAGACAGTGCAGGGTGCCAAAGAAGAATGTTTGAGCAGGCAGATTTCTGGGCTGTCACCTGGCCTGGGTGAGTGCAGGCTGCGCTCTGCTGGCTGCAGTGCAAGGGCTGCTGTGCTGAGCTGGTGGGTGGAGGGGGTCCCTCTGGAGGGCAGCAGTCCCGTCACTCTGTGGGCTCACCTGGGACTTGTTAAATTTTGGGAAGAAGAAATATCTGAGGTTAAGCTGAGAAAGCAACCATTGACTGGTAATTCTGTTGACTGAAGGTTGTGGATTAGAAGGTAATCATTGCTTCATGCTTAAGTGTTTAAAATGCAATATCCAAGTGCAGTCGTAAATGATCCAGATACGATCTCGTGTAACGTGAGATAGTGGCTACTTCTGCTTTCACTCTAACTGCATTTTCCTTCTTGCATTTTATACTGGATAGTAACAGGATCACATAGTTTACCTTAGTATCAGCTACTTCTGAGTTATGTGGACGTGTAGTAAGGTGAGGGAGAGGAGCAAGACAGAATTTTGAAGTGTAGCTGACTTACAGTAATGCTGGTACAAGCGTATAGAATCCAGCAAAGCAAAACAGAAGAGTTGTTACCATTGTAATGTTTTTCCCTTAGAATCACAAGAGAGCACTACTGCTCCTTTTCAAGGCCGGGGGTGAATTCTGGAGATAACTTTTTGAATTTGTTTTGCTTTCATACTCAGGCTGAATTCCAGTGGAATCACTGGATGTTAATCAGGCAGCTATTCATCTTGCTGTGCTCAGCAATGCAGGTGCATCAAACTATTGGGAGTTTTCATTCTACCCAAACTTCTCAGAGTAAGATTTTGAAGCAACAGTTCTTGGTTTCACCAGGAGCACTTTGACATCTGTTCAGACGTGGCCTGAAGGTTATGAATGTATGGCTTTCTCTGGGTCTTCTGAGCTCTCAGGTAAATGGCTCCCTGCTGCTGCTGGTGGGCTCCACGTCCAACTGAACAGCAGCCACTACTCAGTGTGACAGCTTCTGCAGGCTTCATACTGAGCTACAGATGGCAGCCCTGGCAGCTTTCACTTGTGTCTTCTGGTTAGTAACACGTGATCCATGAGTAGCCTTAATGTGACTTCATATCATTTTTTGTTCTGCACATCCCATTTTGCATTTGCTGGTTATGCCTGGAGGTAGGAATGTTTCTCTAGGAGAAGGCTTCTTGCTTTTTTTTTTTTTTTTTTTTTTTTGCTCTCCCTGTGTGAAATGAATTGGTAACCACTGTCCAGCTGTTTGAAGGCACTGTCTGAAATGAGAAGTCAGCCACTGTATTTGATACGTAACCTCTTGGTTAGAATCATAGTTGTACTTCGTATTAGAATAAAATCCTCCACGGAGTCTGGAATAAGCACTGTACTGATGCAGAAGGGAAAACTGGGGGAGGTGTAGGGACTGTGAAGGCCTTGTTTTTGGATTTCATGCATTCTGTTTGTCTTGATACATAAGGAACAGTGTGGAGCAAACTGTGGCATTGCGTCTAGCTCACAGGTTGCAGTACTGCTAAAGAAGGCTAATTGTACCTCTGGTTTGGGTTATTTCCTTTTTTTTTTTGTTTTAATTTATCAAGCCATTATTGACATAATGGAATAAAGCGGAATTTCCACTGTAGTCTGGCTGTTCCCTTGGTGTGAAAAACATGGCTCTTTCCAACCTGTGTTGAATAACTCTATCTTGCTAAGTGTGCTGCTCACAGTGCCAAAATACCGCTTTTAGGTAAAGCAAACATGGGTTACTGACATCAATGACCTGACAAACTGCAGAGCAAGCCTTTCCACCTCTGTTTAACCGATAAACTTTATCAAAGGATAGACTGTTTGACACAGGGCAATTTTCTGTAAATATATCAGGTGCTGTCCTCTTTGCTTTGGCAGTCGGTGCAGAGCCGTTGTTAAATTGAGCTGACTGACCCAATATTGAACAGCAGCAGATGTGAAAGATATGGAAACTATTTCACTTTGTGCTGTGAAAGCTCCATCTCGCTTCAACAGATGGAAAAAGGCAGATAAAAATCTTGGTTGCGCGTCTAAAGCTTTTGTCTGTTTTTCTGCAATCTTCCAGAAAGGAGTTCCATGTTCGGAGTAATCCTGAATCCAAGTGGAACAGGGAGGTTTCCTCTCCCAGAGCTCCGGCACGCCGGTAACAAGTCTTGTTGCATAGATGTTGTGTAAAACATCAAGTTGTTCTCAGCACTGAGCTGAGTTAAATGCTCTGTGTGCGTGGGTGAAGCTCAGGGCCGTCGTGCGGCTCTGTAACCCTGCATGGCTCTAAAACAAGTAGATAGCTGCTGAGCTGCAATGCTGCTGCAGGAGGAGAGTTTGATCTGCATGTGGATTGGTTTGGTTTTGCCAGCTGGGTCTGGGCATCCCGCTCTCAAAAGATGAGCAGTGCAGTGTGCTGCGTGGAAGACGTGAATTTTCTTTAGGAAAAAGGGCGTTTGCTTGAGGTAGCTGTTAGTGCCCGCCTCGGTTGAGTTGCCAGGCTGTCTGTGCGTTAGTCAGCCAGCTCTGCTTTTAAAAAAATCCAGGCTGGAACACAACGAGAGTTCTGTGGGCTTACAAAGCTGTCTTCTGTTTGGAGTATGGAAGTACAGCGTATTACACTGGAAAATGAGAAGTGAGGTTTTTACTGCTGGTTCTAAGTGCTAGTTAGGAGGAAAGGGGGGGAGGCGAGCGCAGCCAAAGGGTTGCTGTACGTTTAAGAGGGTATATGGAGATAATCAGGTTTTTATTAAAAATAATGAATCATGAGTGTGACCTGTTCTTGAACTACAGCAAGCGAGTGCTGAGAGGAGAGGGAGGCGTAGCACCCATCTGCAGGGCTGCGTCGGCCACCCGCGTTCTGCGCTCCACTGCAGGGCTGCTTTCTGCAGCTTCCAGCCCTGCAGGCAGCCTTGCTCTGCTGTGAGGGGCCACTGGTCCCAGGAAGGCTCTTCTGAGCAGGAGTTCCACTTGTTTCTTGTGTGCATGTGCATACTGCTACAAAAATAGAGAGAATGCCTCAGGACGGTCTGCTTTTAGGTAGTAAGTCTCAAGCAACAACTTGTATGTATTATACCATAGTAACAATGTATTCTCAATGGTAATAGATGATAGGGTTGAGTTTTAACATTAGTGGCTAACATAAGGTGAGGCTGCATCCTCTGCATTTCCCTTATGTTTACTGGAGAACTTTTTTTTGTTTCTTTTTTCACTTGTGAAGCATCAACGCACTACACTGGCTGTGTCAAAACTGACATCAACGCTTGAGGGTATTAAAAGGAAAGATGTGAAGCCCTTGGCTGCCGTTGCCTGTAGCCCTTTGGGAGCACACGGTTCCTAGAGCAGCCTTCCAGCTGCATGTTACAGAGCAGGGCTCATGGGGAGCCAAGGGATTGACTCAGCCTTGTGCTGTGACCTGCTGCAGGGGTGCTATGCGGTGTCACAGAGAGGAGAAGCTGTGAGCTGGAGGCAGCTCTGTGTTACGACATGCTGTTCTGGGTGGAATCTGATAGCATTCCTTCGTGTCTCGCTTAAAATGGAGAGCTAAGTTAAGAACCAGTACAGATGTACAAGAAGTACATCTGGTTGTTAACACAAGGGAGAATAGGAGGGCCGCTGTATGGTACTGATAAACATACTGACTGTTTGAAGATTTATCTGTACTGCATGCAACTTACACTGTCTGCATTGCTGCTTCTGGTGCCTGAGATAGTTCCTGTTAGTGGATTATGCTGCAGATGGCTTCACTTGCTTTCACTGCAACTGATGTGGCCTACATAAGCTTCCAGAAGGATGGGACACTCCTGGGAGTTCCTAAAAATAGGATTATTTTGAAGAAAATAACGTGTCCATCACTTCTTGCCTTCTCTTGTCTGTGAAATTCTTGCATCAGTCTGCTCTTTGAGCTCTGTTACAAGGCGTGCTGGTCTTGGAGCAGACATTTTTTATCCACTATGCACGTAGCACTTCTGTCCTCTGTATGATCAAGCAGAGGGAAATGCAATGAATCTGCTCCAAAGAATTTCCAAATGCAGTCTCAGAAAGACATTTGTCAGCGAAAAGGTGTGTGTTAAAAATGTTTCTAAAAGCATCATATGTATGCCTCTAGTGTTACAATTTTTCCTACCTTAAGCTGTATTAAACCCTGATCATTGATACAAAAAAAAAAAAAACAAAAAAACACCTTTGAAATTAATACTAGTAGTTATGTTGGTAGTTAAAATGTGTTTCCTTGTGAAAAATGCAAACGTATAAACAAAAATACTCACTGATCTGTGCATGTGTGTGTTGCTTTTTGTTTTTAGTAAAGGGAAGCAAGGTCTCCTCCCTAGCTTGGAAGATCTGCTCTTCTACACTATTGCAGAAGGACAAGAGAAAATACCAGTGCATAAATTCATAACTGTAAGTTTACTGTTCCTGAGTGCTGTATGAAAGCTAACTGCTACAAGGTGGTTTTTTACGTTCTGGATGCAAGAATATAAATGAAGGAATTCATGTTATAAATGGGTTGCTGCAACAAGGAATGTAACTTTTCCCCTTCCTCAGCACTGTTTGTGTAATTGAATGAAAATTCTTGTGCTGTTATTCATTTATTTGTTGTACAAGAGAATATGCTTCAAAGCTTCTGTGTCTGTGGCACAGCTCAGTGGTGTTTGCGCTTAGAGAAAATGCAGTTGGACCACTGTGGATTTTGATCCAAACCATAGCAGCCCTTTAACATATATCTTGAATATCTTGATGTTGATGGTGCCGTGGCAGGTAGTTTTTATATTAATAAATGAGACTGAACAGCAGAGATCTTTGTAATAGCATACATCTTCATTTAAGTAACTTCTATCTTATTGTGATAGGCACTCAAATCTACAGGATTACGTACGTCGGATCCCAGGTTGAAAGAGTGCATGGATATGTTAAGACTGACCCTTCAAACAACTTCTGACGGTGTTATGCTGGACAAAGACCTCTTTAAAAAGTAAGCTTTGTTGTCAGTGTTATTGTACAACTCTGAATGAATGTTCTGTGTGTGTCACTGACATCTGTCTTGGGAGAGACCGACAGTACGTAGTTGTGTAGTAGAAAGGAGTCCAAGCACACGTCTTACTGTTGGTATTTTTGTAAAAGCAGCTTCTGTGGCTTCATACAGCAAGCAGATCTTGTAATACTCATCAATGCTTAATGTATCAGCATTACCTGCATGTGTACCTGACCCCATCCTGCAGCCCTTACTCAGCTACCAAATAAATGGATGCAATGTGGGTTATTTTCAATAAATATGTAAATCTTCTTTCTTTCTGCTTTTAATCTGAAGTCTGGGGAGCTGCTTCTATGTAGTTCAGAGCATCTTGGTACTGAGATCAGAGCATGCATGTAGATAATTCTAAGTGAGTATATGAAAAATAGCAAAGCTGTACTTCACTCTGCTATGCAGAGATGAGAGCTGTAGACCTGCTTTGATCTGTTTTGGAAAAGATTTATGTGCCTTATTTTAGTGATAGTTTAAGGGAAGTCTGTGGTTGTTTAGCTTAACAATATAAGCACTGTTCAGCTTGTCTTCGGTTCCTTCCAGACACACTCCTTCAGTCCCCTATTAATGGCTTTTGAGTGCCAAAAGATTATAACTAGGTGCTCTTAAATCTTGAAGTGAAGTTTGTAGTCTATATTTGAGTCCGTTCTTCTTCCATTTGCAGGGTAAATGATGCTGTATCTGAAAGTTCCTTCTTTCATTACAAGCTTTTTTCAAAATGATACATTTCTGTTCTGTACAAGCTTTTTTTTTTTTTTTTAGTTAATGGTGTACTGGGTTCCTTCTTCTGGTAGTTTGGTATGTGTATGTATATGTATCAATATAAATATGTGGGTATACACACACACACACAGATAATTGAGAACAACTAGTGCTTCTCATACACACGTGCATCAAGGAGAAACTATGGAGAGTGCTGATAGCATAAACTTGACTAAATCAATTAAGCCCAGTCCAAATTAACTGTGAATTATTTTAGGCCACGTATCTGTGCTATCTATTGTTGTAACAAAAGATTTAATACCCTTTTACTCATTTTACTAGATTGGAATTTGACTTAAATTGCCTGATTTTGAAGACTTCTGGCTTTTTGGTGTTCTTCATCTTAGACAAAAAATTGGAGTAAACTGCCATGTTACAGTCAGAACAGTTCCAGTTTTTTGTCTTTGTCTCCAGAGGTTGGAAGGGACCTCAAGGATCATGAACCTCCAACCCCCTGCCACATGCAGGGCCACCAACCTCCCCATTTAATACTAGACCAGGCTGCCCAGGGCCCCATCCAATCTGGCCTTGAACACCTCCAGGGACAGGACATCCACAACCTCTCTTGGCAGCCTGTTTCAGCACCTCACCACTCTCATAGTAAAGAACTTCCCCCTGACATTCAACCTAAATCTTTGCTCCCTTAACTTGAAACCATTTCCCCTTGTCCTGCTGTTATCTACCCTTTCTAAGAGTTGATGAGAGGTTCTGGAAATGAAGACTGGATTCCCCACTTCCAGCCAGAAAGCTTGATAATTTTCTTGAAGCAGGTGTTCATGTTGCATCAGTGTAACATAGCAGTCTTTCTTTGTATCTTGATACATCGCTGAGATAAGTCTGCATACTGAAAATGGTGCAACATTCCAGTTAGCTGGTGGTACGCTTTATGTTTTTTGGTACCCTAGTTATGGTACTACTCAAAGAAGTGTATAGATACAACTAAGGTGCTAACAAACTAGCTTGTGATATGTTGATCATTGTGTATGGCAAAAAGAGGAAAGTCATAATGGAGTTGTTTTGAAAAGGGTGCCAACTTGAGTGAGATGGTAGCTATTGAGTAACAGTTATGAGCTTAAACTTCATTCTTTTTCCTATTAACTGGCTTTTTAGACTTACTCCTTGTCACAAGGTACCTCTGTCCTGTTTTGTTGACCTGGAATTGTGGTCTTGCTGGCCAAATCTCCTCTGATCTGCTGGTGGGAAGCAGCAATCTGGGTCTGTTCTGTTCTAAGCATCTGTTACTGGATCTCAAACAGGCTTATCTATTTCCTGTGGAACAGCTGTGCTGCTCTCTAAATCTGGGCAGCAAATCCTGGGGAAAACTTTAATATCAGATATACTTAACCCAGGTATTAATAAATGCTTTCATCCTATTTGTTTGAGGAAATAAAAAGCTATTGATAGAAACTGTGGAGGACTTTTGCTATATTTCTATAAATACCTCTTTTTTTTCCCTGAAGTTGCACTTATTCATTTCTAAAATGTCTAAATATATCGTACACTTGACAGACATCATCTTCCTAGTTGGAACTGGAGCTTCACGTAGTGCTTATACTGCAGCTTTTGAATCAAAAAGATGTGCTAAGATCCCATTCTGCTGTATAGCTAGCCTAGCGATTCCTTAAAATCCATGAGTTCAGAGTATCTTGTTTTAGCAGGTAACTACTTTGTTTAGGAAAGCAGTAATCAGCACTGGGAGCCAGAATTTTAAAGAGAAGGGATAAACACAACAAGTTTCATGACAAAAGAAATAAGATGATCAAAATTTAATGCTACAGACCTATATTTATTTTTTTTAAGAAAAGTTAAAACTCAAACCGCGGCTTCCAGATTATGCAGATTGTAAGACTTGAATCCCAGTCTTCTGTTAGAGCACTGAGGAGAACACAGGGAGCTGAAGGGCACTGGGTTGAGGTGAGATGTGTTGTAAGCTCGACAGTTTTGTCCTTCAAGGACAGTTTTGTCCTTGAAGTAGGCAAGTCAGTTACAAACCTGTTTTGGAAAACAGATGTGATGATTTTTTACTTGTCACTAAAATATTCACGAGAGAGAGTCATCTGTGAATATCTATTCTCTTTGCTCATCCATCTTTCTGATGGGAGTTCATTGAACTTAATCCCTGGTTTACCCTTGAGTGAAAATTGCTTGTTAAAGTGCAATACCAGTGCGTTGCTCCGAATTGCACATCCCTGATAAAGCACATGCAAATGCATCACATGCCAGTAATAGACAAATATTCAGAGTCCTTGCTAACCATAGTTCTGTCTTTTCTACCTAGCTTTATTTTGACCTCTTGCTCATGTGAACAGCAATGTGATAGTATTGCAACCCAACTGCATTGTTAGGCTGACATTAAAAAGTTTGGGAAAATGGTGATTTGAGATAGGAAGGAAGCACTCCTACCTTAAACGCTATTCATACATGCAGTATGTAATAAAGTCTACTTTGTTCTTGAAGTTTTCATACTGCTCCATTTCTTCTAAGCCTCAGCCATTCTTCTCTGAAGGGTAAGGTGGAACATAAACTGTCTACATGCTCCACTGGGGAGATGTCATCTGTGGAATATTAGAGGCTGTGAGATGAATGTCCCCTATTGATTGAAAGTATCAGTGCTGCATAACTGGAGCTCACTAGGACCTCTGCTGTTTTGCCCATGCAGTAGTTGTTTGCAGTACTTGGCTAGATGAACCGAACCCCTGTATTTAGTGCCTGAATTCATACAATTTGCCTGGATTAAGGAGATGCTGATCTTGGCAGTTGCAGAAATGCAGTGAAATCCTTAACCAGCACGGCCATTTCTGCAGTCAGTGACTAGCTTAAAGCAATTAAATTATTTAAGTGAGACTTGATGTAAATTGGAAAGTATAAAAATGCCCTTTCTGCAGTCTAATGTGATATCAGAGGAGTGTTTTTCAGCACATGCTGCCTTCCTGTTGTCACGTTGCTCATGCTCTGACTTCTTGGGCTGTTTTAGTAGATTTAGATTAACTTCATTTTTTTCTAATGAGAGTACTTGATGCTGTCTGTGTGATACAGATGATGTGCTGAAATGCATCTGAAAGGTAAATCTAATGTGTGTGTATATTCTTCCTTCTGCACACGTGGCTGCCATAATTGCTCTTAATTACTTTTGAAAAGGGGTTGCACCACCTGCAGGAAGGCTGCTGGGAACAAAAATGGGCAGGGTTTTGGCAGGCTGTGTGAAAAGGGAGTGGACGAGCATGACAAATCACAACAAAACCAGCTGAAACTGCTGTTTTAATGTAGCCTTACAGTTTATTACAGGCGGAGCAATTCTCAGATTACCAACTTATGTACAAGAAACTTCTCTGCTGTTTCTCTTCCTCTGTTGGAGGGAAGGACAGACCAGCATTTGGGATGGTTGTCAGTTGAATTTGCAGTAGGGTATTTAAAGTACAATGGAATTCAAAGTGAAAGTGAAGCTTCTAAAAAGGGAAGGGGATGCAAAGGGAGGATAATTGTATCTGCTCAGTCATCTGCATGCAACTTTATTCTGACCTGGTGATGACTTCTAACCATAGGATTATTGAAGTAGTGTTCAAAGTGATGTAATCTTTAATTGTTATGAATAACTCCTAATTGGAAGAATTAAGTTCTCCTTCCTAATAGAGGAAGTTCCTATATGTTCTTGAGTTCTCATCTGTCTGAAATAACAACCTGCTTCTGCTTTTATGAACATTACCAGAAAGTGCAGTAGGAACGTTACCAGATGTGTTAATTTGGTGTTAAGCCTGCCTTTCTCTTTCTTGCACTAGGATGGGGCTGTTAATCCCCTTTATCGGCTGTGCTTTAACGGTGTGATAACAGCTCCCATTTCTCATCCTCTGCTCCCATTCACCCCACCCACAGATACAGCACTTAGCACAACTTGTCTCACCTCGTGTTCCCAACCTCCATTTCCTCTGTTTCTCCTAGATCAAGTCCTTTCCATTTTACCTCCTTGGTTTTAAATGTCCCCATGGGCTGATGTTTGGAGAGTGTGGGTGATGATGTGATTGTATTCTAGGTTAAAATAAATCAGAAATGGGGATAGTCTGAGGTGAGAGACTTTGAGTCCTTTTCAGTGTTGATTTTTTGTTTGTTTTAGATGTTAGCAAGGACTTCATCAGTTTTTCTATTCTAACAGCCCACGTGTTTTTCAACTCAGTTCAGTTTGGTGTGTTGGCAGCTTCCTTGCTCATTAGCAATCTTTTGAACAAGGGCTGGGTAAGGCAACTTTCACTTGTGTTGGTCCAAAGAACTGGGTGGCTTAGTTCCTACTTGAAGGGAAATTGATGGTACTTTGCTGTACAACCCCACAGTTGAAATAAGAGTTTAAAATAGAATGGCATAGAAGTGAATGTATTCAAACAATTATAAATAACTTTTAAAAATAGGGATGAAGAATTCCTTCTAATGGAGAGCTATTATTTTAGGCACAAAAAAACTTTAAAGGGACTGACAGTCCTTAAGAAGCAATTGCACACTGTTTAAGTCATCTTTTTGTTACATTTGTCCAACTGCTAATACTTATTTTCCTTTGACTTTTTGCAGGTGTGTACAAAGTAACATTGTATTGCTTACTCAAGCTTTCAGAAGAAAGTTTGTCATCCCAGATTTTATGTCATTTACTTCACATATTGATGAGCTATATGAAAGTGCTAAAAAACAATCTGGAGGAAAGGTAATGTTGCTTATAAGTTCAACTTGAAGCTTCTCTAGAATTCTTGATATTAACCAAATTTGTCTGTTCTTTTTCAAGTAGAGGGCTTTTCTTCATGTTTTTAGCAGAATGTGAAATTGATAATTTGATGGAAGTAGTTGCTGAAGTTCAATTTTGTTTGCAGCTTGTAAATTAAGATAGAAATGCAGCTCCGTATCTCTGGCCATTTTTTAAAGTTGTCAGGCTAAAGACAGAAGATACTGTTGGTCTTTCTTAATTTTATCCAAGTTATAAAGCTGCTATATTACTTGCTACTAAGGCTGTCTGTAACTGTTTTTCTAACCTACAACCTGTCAGTTGTGTGAAGTAGCGTAGCTGTTAAGTGCTAACTGTACTGTGGTTAGTAATTAAAGTTTATACCAGTCATTGTTTTCAGTGGTTAATTGAAAACCCCAAACTTTGTTAGAATTTTCTTATTTGAAAGTCCTAAATATGCTATAAAATTGGACACGGATTGCTTTTAGAACATGCTGCATCATAGAATGGCTTGGGCTGGAAGGGACCCCAAGGGTCATCAAGTTCCAACCTCCTGCCACAGTCAGGGCCACCAAGCTCCATGTCTGGTACCAGACCAGGCTGCCCAGGGCCCCATTCAACCTGGCCTTGAACACCTCCAGGGATGGGGCATCTCCAGCCTTTCTGGGCAGCCTATTCCAGCACCTCACCACTCTCTCTGTGAGGAGCTTCCCTGTGACGTCCAATCTAAACCTTCCCTCCTTCAGCTTAGATTCATTCCCTCTTCTCCTATCACTATCTACCTGAGTAAAAAGTTGATTCCTTTTCTGTTTCTATAATCCCCTTTTGCTGAATGCTGAAGTTTGTTTTTTCATTGGAAAAAATACTTCATTTGATAATGGTCTTGTCAGTATAACAGTTTATATTCTTAGGTTTGCTTTGTGATGGTTTGGGATAATACAGTTGTACCTCTCACGTCCTCTCCATGTAATTATTACCGTAGACATACACTAACATACAGTTAAATATTTTGGATGATATAACATCTCTCTTTTTGTTTTTTTGTTATGATAGGTTGCTGACTATATTCCACAGCTGGCCAAGTTCAGCCCTGACTTGTGGGGTGTGTCACTTTGCACAGTGGATGGGCAGAGGTATATTTTTAACTTGGAAATTTTGCTGTTTCAGGAAGTTAAACTGTTTGATAGATGCAGCACTTCCTGGTATCTCATGTTTTAATAAAGAAAAAGCATTGCAGGAGTTGTTTAAGAAGTAAACCTACTTGGATCTTATTCTTCTTTGTTTTAAATTTCTGCTGAAGCTAACTGATTTGTTTTTATAAAGTGTTCCTTTAGTAGTATTTGTAATTACACTGTAGAGGTGGAATATATTGCTTTTAGGAGCTGGCAACAGATAAATAAAGCTGAGGGTAATTTCAGTGATCACCAGAGGACAAGATAGAGGTGATGCTTATGTAGTATTAATCTTTGAAAGCTGATGATCTTTTGTCTAATAGCATCCATGCTTTGATTTAGGCATTACTTTTTTGCATTTTAATGTTGTTACTCTACTCTAATTTTTATGACCACTGTACATCACTGGATGAATTTCACAAGAATATTCTTTACGAAGGAAGTGAATATGTGGAAACTGGACTGAACTTTGTTCTGATTTTTTTTTTGTTGCTTCAGATTTACCATACTGTCTCCTGTAAGGGTGTGTATAGCTCTTAATATAGCTACAATGATTTTTTTTATTGAGCAGTGACTCAGTGCAGCAGAAAACTGAGCCAAATGTAAAGCAGTATCTCACATCATCTAGCTGAGTGGTGAGGTGAACTATTGTGTCATCCTTTGTGACCTCATGATGTGAGATAAACGTTTGCTTGCATCTCTGCTGTAATGCAATTTGATGCAGACATACTATGTAAGCTGAGTATCAGAATTCTTAGGTGTTTAGTTTGTCCCAGCTGAAAGGAGCGTTCTTGGGTTCACTGGGCTGCCTTATGGTGTCAGTGCACAGGAAGACATTTTAATGTCATCTGTTATGATCCTTTTTTTTTTTACTGTATATTGTGTGGTCTATAATCTCTAACGAAGTGCTATGCAAGGTTTTTGATGTGCCTCTATTTAATCTAAGTGAAATTTCTACCACCATTTTAGCTTCTTACTTAAATGGCTGAACTGTAATAGAACAGTTTCAAAAGTGAAGAATATTCTTCTCAAATATATTGAATTAGCATTTGCGTTGTTTTGGATATTGCAAATTGCACTAATGACAGCTTTTGTAATACTAGTTTTTGTAATGTTTAATATTGTTTAATGCTAGTTTTCATAATGCCAGAATGCTTCTGTAAATTTCTCTGGACTTTTCTCAGATTTTCTGCAAAAAGACAAAAACACTTCTGATTTTGCCATCAGACATGTGATAGCTTGGAACCTTTTGTTCTCAATGGGACATATGCTGCTTGTGTGAGTCATTCTCTCAAGCAGTCTGGATTAGGTGTTGCAAATAAACTTTCTGGAAGATGTTATTTCATGACTTCAGTAAAATACCTACGCCACTATCAGAGGGAATAGAACTACTGATAGTTCAATTGATAGTTCCAAAACAGAATTGGCTCTCATTTTTGCTTCTGTATCCATCACTATGTGTAAGGGGCTATATTCAGGTTGACTGTACTCAGTTGAATATATGTGGTACTAGAGTTCTGGCACCCTGCTGGTATATAAAAGTAGTTTAAATAGCTGTATTTTTCCTGTGATTAGTCCCAGTACGCTGAGAACTGAATGAAGCACTTACTACAGCTGGAGGAGAATTTAAGCATCTTCATTTGTGTTTTTCCCAGGCATTCTGTTGGAGATACCAAAGTTCCTTTTTGTCTTCAGTCCTGTGTAAAGCCTTTGAAATATGCTATTGCTGTTAATGATCTTGGCACAGAGTATGTGCACAGATATGTTGGTAAAGAGCCTAGTGGATTAAGATTCAACAAATTGTTCCTGAATGAAGATGGTAAGAGCTACTTAATATTTAATAATGCGTTTACAGAACAAGCTACCCTTTTTTTCCCCCAGTATTTTTATTTTACTCTATCTTCTCAAGTCTCACTGTTGTTGTCATATAAATGTAAAAGCTATCTGTATACCACCTGGCCTCTGCAGCCTCTCAAAGGCTGGAGCTGGTTAGTTTACAGAAGTGAAACTGAACGTGCCTTCCCACGGATGAATCCAAATTTAATTTGGCTAGTGATTCAAAATGGTACTTTTTTTTTTGTCTGTGACAGGAATGTTTTAGCAAGAATGTCTTGCACAGTACCTAGATTCATTCTTTTGGAATGGCATTAATAAACAAGCATGAAAAGTGCTATTTTGAGTGACATTATGGTAAAAATCTGAGAAAGGTGACTCATGTAGCCTTAGAGGAAATGCTGGATGTTATCTCTGAAACACAGATGCTTCCAGCAGATCTTTCTCTCCCAGTAAAAGGACAATGTTTCTGTTGCCATGGCAATCCAATTAATATTTAATTAATAAGACTGAAATATTTTTGTCAAGGGCTGTATTGAATTTTGTCTTTGTTACAAATATTGATAGAGACATTCACAAACTATAATGCATAATTCTATTTAGACATACAGAATGATTAGACTGTAGTCTTACATTACTATTACTCTTGAAGAGTGCTTAAGACAATCTTGTAATGGGAATTGGGGTTACTAAAAGTTGCACCAGAGTGCGTGAAATTAAGAGAGAAGACTAATGCATGTGATGCAAACGTTTATTAACTTTTATTAAGTATGTTGTTGTAGTTTGGGTGGTATAGCTGACCTGAGAAACGTGTTAGCTGAAGGGCTGGTCACATTCACATTGGTTCTGTACAGTCTTTAAAGCAGACAGTAGAAGTCTGTTACATGGAGAGGGAGAGAAGTTACATTTCTGCAAGTAAAAGAGGAAGAGGGGAAAAGGGAGTATAGCTTGTATATAAAAACAAAGTAATGTGAAGCTTGGACATGCAGCATGTCTGGCAGTTTTAACATAACCCTTTGATCAGATTTGAAAACACACCATGTATACGTTTAGTCCATTGGCTTTCTAATTGTTGTAGTTGGTTTTTATGTCTGTAATGAGGATTTTATGAGGTGATTTACAACTATTTGAGAATTGTTTAGACATGCATCTGAAGTTGTTTTTTTCTTTTCCTACTTGCTATATATATAAAGTTCTTGTATTTCTTAATTTACTAGTACTGGAAAGATTTCAGGTAGTTCTAAATAGTGGAAAAAGCTAACAGAACAAAAAGTGTTGATAAGCATCATTTATATTGTGGGTAAGGTCTGTGCTGTGCAACGTAAATTTGGAATCTTATGCAGCCATGTGAGTATTCAATTTCAAAACTATTTTTAATCAAGGGAAACAGTCCACCACGCAGTTCAGATTTCCAGATGATTAAAGCAGTTTTCATGCTTGGGAATTTCACGTAGTAAAATATGTCTGAAATATACATCTCCAGGAATATTAACTTCCTATAGTGATGGAGTCAGTTTGCAGTATGCTTCCTGCTGGTGAGTTCACACTGAAGTATGTCTGACAAGGCTGTATCTACGCACAGTCAGTGTCATTTGTTCATATGTGACCTTTTGATGGTGGTCATTTGAAGTGTTAGTACGGTGATACAGTTTCTTAGTAGAATGTAGTCCAGTATTTTGGTAGAATCTAGTTCATTAATAAATGTATTGTGCTTATGTGGGGGTCTGTCAGGAAATGGCTTGTGCTGCTGAGTGATTTTGTCATCCAAAGGTGGATTTCTGTAGGTTTTGCATTACACAAGCATGTTTGATGCCCTTGTCACAAGGAACTAGTCACAGCACACCTGTCCTGTGTGTTAAAATGGTGTTGGTTTTGTGCATGTGGGCAGCTTCTGCTTCCTCTGCTTAAAAGCTGCAAATCAGAGTTGTGCTGGGAACGCTCAGTGCCAGCGGTGGGCAAAATGTCAGAACTGGTGACAGAAAAGCAGTGTAATTTGAGTTTACAAGCTCAAAGGAAAAGTCTGGTTTGCATAAGGCATAACTGTGTGGGATGTTGCTAGAGCAATCTTACTGGTGGTCTGGCAGACTTGAGTTATAAAGAACACATTTGTTTTTCACTGATTATAGCGATGTCCAGGGAAGAGAATTAAGATGACCAGATAAGTCATGTTTTCTTTTGAGCTTTGATGTATCTATTAAATTTCCTAACTTTCCTACATTAAAAGATGTAGTAGACAAGCGTCCCTGTCCCACAGTACAGACAGAGCTCTGTAGCAGAACAGTGTGTTTGCTCTTCAGGCTGCTAGGCAGGTTGCTTATGCAGAAGAGAAATGACGCAGTGCTGTGCTTAGTCAGGGCATCACAGCTGAAATGGAGTGGCTGTTAAAAGTGGTGCTTTTCATTAAGGGTAAGAAGATGAATTTACTCTGAGGTATAATGAGATGGTACGATGAGACAAGAGACTTGCAGGGACACCGCCTAACAGTGGTTTTTTTCAGTTGAAGTAAATCATTGCCTTTATTTGATTAGTGTGTGGTTAGCAGTGTGTGCCAGTTAGCTTTTCAGAGTTGATACCTCTTTTGAAGATAAACAGATGAGTCTGACCTCTTCACAAACTGTTGTGATTTCATTCTCTGCTTTGGTTCCTTGTCATACAGTGTGCAGTTCCTTGCAGGTGGCTTCTTCTGGGAGGTAAATGAGTTGCTGCTGCTCCTATAGGAAAATGACTGTAACTTTTGGTAGGGGCTTATGAAGCAATGAAGGTCACCAGTCCCACATAATCCGTGGCTTGAGGGAATGTGGGTGGGGTGGTAGGTAAACTTGGCTCCTGGGAGGAGGAGGATGCTTAGGGAGGGTGTGGGTTTGCAGCATTGGGAGGATTTTGAGACAGCTAGGCAAAGCCATGGGTGACCTGGTCTAACCTCAGCAGTAGCCTTGCTCTGAGTGGGAGGGTCCATGAGGTGAGGTCCCTTCTGACCACCAGCATGCGACGCTGCGAGTCATTCATCTTCTGGCAGCTTAAAAAACAGCACAGAGGTTTTGGTCCCTAAGGAGGCAGAGTTTGCAAGCTATTGAAATGGTAAAGTCTCTCAAGTTTCCTTTACTGTATGTATTAGATATTAAAAAAGAAAACAGTTGATGTTTTTAAATGTTCCTTTTTTTCCTCCCACAAGTTTGGAGTTAAAGTAGCAACAGATAAAAGGAAGGATTCAAAACTGTCACAGTATTGTTTTTTAGACAGTGTAACCCTCAAAAAGCAACGTCCTATTTTAAAAGCCAAAATGTTTAAAAGGAAGAAAAAGAGAACTAGGAGATAGATGATGATGAATGAGAACTTGTATAAACCAGCAGACAGAAAAGCAGACAGCTAATCAAGAAAGTTTTTTTACTTTTATTTTTGCTGGTGGTTCTTCCTATGTAATGCAAAAGTATTGATAATATGGAGGAGTTCAGTTATAATAAGGAACTTAAGCTGTGGCAGGTGTAAGTCAATTCTGAAACGTTAAATCTTGGTGATGATGGGGGAAGAATTATTTGTATTTCAGAAGAAGGCCATAGAAACCTCTGATTTCTGAAGACTTGGGTTGCTGTATTTGTGTACAGAAGCGAGGAAATGGAAGAACTGTGGAGGCATTTTATTTCTTTAAATTACCTCTTGAACATTTAAAATCACTGAGACTTGGAGAAAATTTGGAAGTCCCTTAGGGGTGTTGGTTCTTGTTGATGCCACATTGATCAAATCGTGGATCACTGGAGGAGGTTGAGTATTTTAAAGAAAAGGAACCTTGCCAAACCAATGTGTTTACTGGGTGTTAAGTAGCATTAGGCAGTTTGTTATAAGTTGTAAAATACTTATCTCAGAATTGCCAAAAAAAAAAGAAAAGTGAGATTAAAATATTTCTAGTTTGTATTCCACTGTTATAGTTTTAAATCTTATATCTATCATTTTTCACTTCAACCTTTGACTGGTTTTGTTTGGCAGATGTGTCTTCGGGTATATATGTAATTGAAAACTTTATTTCACAGACAAGCCTCATAACCCTATGGTGAACGCTGGAGCAATTGTGGTCACATCTTTAATCAAGGTAAAAAAATCATTTTTAGTTTCTCTCAGAGAGTTTTAATAGAATGTAGGAAAGTATCCTTGTATGTTTTCATTGTTTGTGTGCAGTATTTGATGGCAGTTTGCTTGTTAGCAGGTAGACAAGCTGGCATATTTTGGAAGTAAAACACTTGCAAACCAAAGCAGCTTCAAACAGTTTTTAAAGTAGTAACAGTGTAGCTGGAAGACTTTAATGGTAGAGTTTTTAGTTTTGTTTACTTCTTTAACTGTATAACACTTCAAATGTTACCAGCATGTCCCCATGAACAAACTCTGTTATACTCGGATATGTTTCCAAATGTCTAATGCTTATGTAACATAAACATAGAGTATTTCCTGCTGTGCAGAAGGAAAGGAAGATCCTGGGGTTTCTGAGGGTGATGCAGTTACATTAATTTTAATATGAAATTTACCTACTATTAACATACTGTGTAATTGAATTACATTTAACTTATGGTATGTAGTTTCTTTTGGGATGCTTAATGTACTTTCTTAAATGTGCTGGGGAGCAGCCACCTGTATTTGCAGAGCTGAATAATGACTTCAGTGCATAATCTTGCAACTTCTGAAAAGCAGTATTATATTTTTTTACGTTAGAATAGCTGTGTCTATTGAAAATGACATGAATTTCATGTAATGCTAATGTTTGCCAGATACTTGCTGTTTCTGCTTTTTTTTTTTTTTTTGGTAGGCACTGATACAAAACAAACCTGGTTCTTGGTTCTTTAGAACTCAGGATACCTGCTTAGAGGGCTGAGGATCATGTCAGTGCCCTGGAGATTTGAAGTAGAAAACTTAATGCTGTTACTTCAGAGGTCTAAAAAAGCCTTTGTCTTCCTTGTGTTTCATACTTCGTTAGCTACAGTCTGTTTCTTACCTCCTGTTTCCAAATTGTTGGTTTTACAATTTCTTAGATCATGATTTTTTTTTTTGTTATTTTATATTTAAAGAAGGTGTAAGAACTCCTGCTTAAAGACATTTATCTTTAATAGCTGTAGGTGAAAGAAAATGGCCTTAAATGTGACAGGTAAATTTATTCACGTTTAATATTTTTAAAGGTTGACTGAGCATTGAAATTCACTTGGATAACAGTGAATTTTAAAATATGACTTAACACACTTGTCAAATGTCAAGATGTTAGACCTTCCTAGAAAATGCCCTGTTGGTCGTAAGGCAAAACACAAGCATGTGCCTCTTGCAGAGGGCACATAGTTCTTGATAAATGGTTTACTTTTAAATAGACAAAGTGGATTTGTTTATTGCATGTAATTGTGGTATTTGTTGAAAGGTTGGGGGATTGTTTTGCAGGGTGGGTTTTGTTTTTTTTTTTGTTTTCTGTAATGTTCTTACTAAGAGTATTGCACTGCACTGATGTTTTTGCATGTGGTAACTGCACGTCTAATGGACACATATCACACTTATCACTTCATTATTTGTTTTCACTGTGATTAAAACGTAGATTTTCATGTACCGTTTTCACAAAGATACCATTTATCATTTGACTAACTAACCAAACTAAACATGGTATTCTGGAAGAAGTTAGAGGGTCAAGAACTTACATAAAGTCTATGTTTTCTTGTGAAATAACTTCTTTACAACCTCCTTCTTAGCAGCGTTCCTCCTAAACTGTTCAGTGACTTAAGTAATTCCAGTTTGCATTTGATCTAATCTAACTTAGATTTTTCTGGGCAAGGTGGCTTCATTAACCATTGTTCTGCCCTCAGTTTCCCTGCATTTGTGTTGTTTGATTTCAGGTGTTACTTAAATATGTTGATGGCTGTATATGGCTCGTGGAGTCCGAGATAATGAAAAGGCTATTAAACAAGAGCAAATGTGTCACGTGTGACAGGTTTATGTAGTGATAGCATGTTGGTAGTTCAGGAGAGATTGGTGCTGTATTTCAGCATTAAGAATGCTTTTACCTCCTTTGAGAGGGATTTGCTATATTACCTTTTCCTGATTTATGAAATTTTGCATCCATTACATGGTGCAGGACTCAGCCAGCAGAGATTAGCGTGTGTGATTGTGTCCATTACTGCCCTTAAAATCTGTCACAAATGAACATCAGTTGTGGACAAGACATGAAGCTTAGAGTCATATACTTTTTTTTTGTTAGATTATGTAATGTGTTGATGTTTTATGGGGGGGAAGAAACAGTTCTTGGGGTCACAAGTCCAGCTCTGACTGCACACTTTGGAACAGAGCACAGACCAAAGCGGTCATGCTAGTACTGATATCTGTAATAGTAAATAATAATGAAAACATACGGACATGCCAAGTTGTGCATTTGTTTGCCTTACTGTATGACCTACTCTTACCAGCTTACACGATTCTCCTGACATGCTTGGAATGTGTTCAGATTTTATTGCCTTAACTTATGGCTCTGCCCTAATGATATTTGCATTGCAAATACAGACCGTTTCAGCAATTTAAAGCGTGTATTTGGAATGAAAATCTTTTAGCAAAAGGACATACTGTAGTTTGGCTTTAGTTTAATTAAGATCATAAAAAGCCCTGAGGGCCTTTGTGCTTGTTTGTAATTGTATGGCCATTTGTCTTTATTACTAGCTGAGGTTATGTAGTTAGAACAGTTCTGAAATAATAGCATTGAAAAGAATAGTAGTGGCAGTTATACCCTCTAATGTGGAAAAACGGTGGTAGAATAAAATAAAATCTTCAGGTCTCCAAGGAAATGCTTGAAATGAGGATTCAGCTGCTGACCAGATCGAGTACAGGTGTGGTGCTCCTGAAGCACCCAGCTTTGTGTAAATCAGTCTTTGTCCCTAGTATAGATAGATGGAAATGCTTTCTTTTCTTGTTTTTCTGAAATGTTACACTTGATTCTCAGAGCGTGCCAACTGCAGAGAGATCCATGGTTGTGTCAGAAGCCATGGCTGCCTGGGGAAGTTGCTTAGGGGTGCTGGTGGGGAGGTGTGCAGGGGGCTGTGGATGCCTGTGGAAGGAGTTGTCAGAGGAACCAGGGATTAGTCCAATGTCATTTTTGTCGTTATGTGTCAGGGTTCTGTCTGTAGGTGAAAGCTTTTCTAGGTGACCAAGGTTTTGGGCTCCAGCCTGGAGCTGCTCCTGCAGGGGCTCTCCTTGGCAGAGATCTGCTATGTGCAGTGCCTGTGAGCTGCAAAGGGACAGCCTGCTCCTCTGTGGGCCTCTCTTGGGCTGCAGGGAGCTGTTGCTGCATGCCTGGAGCACCTCCTGCCCTCCTTCCCCACTGACCTCAGTGCCTGCAGGGCTGCATCTCTCATGTCTCACCTCTTTCCCCTGTCTGTTGCTGCACAGCAGTTTTTCCTTTCCTTACATCTGCTCTCCCAGAGGTTTTGACTGGTGTTGCTTGCTGACTTGTCTGACAGGGGTCTCTGGCTCTGATCTGACACGAGGCAGCTCTTGGGCTCTGCTCAGAGTCCATCCCTTGGGCCCCTCTGCTACCAAAGCCCTGCTGTGTAAGCCCATTGTAGGACTATGAGTATTGCTGTGCACCCTTTCACAAAGTTTGGTGTAGGTGAGGGTGAAAATGCTCATTTTTGTTGACCCTCAAGAGAACATAATTAATAGAATAAAATGTAGTGAATCCCATATACTTCAGAGCATTCTATATATGCTGGTAGACTTTGAAGTATCTGTGTCTATCAGCAATGTGAAAACCTGCCTAGCTGTTCCCAGGTCTGTTTGTTGTCAGAATACAGTCCCTAGAAAGCCTATACAGTCCTTGAGGAGAGGAGAAGAAAGGCACCTTTCTTACTGGCTTTATTTATCAGTGTAGTTAAAATATATAGTACAGATTTAGCTTTACCTGCTGTCTCCTACCTGTTCTGTTTGCCCTTCCTGATAGCCTGATGTGTAAAAGTACCTACAGACAGCTTTAAAACCTGTGTTGGAGTTGTGATCTTCACTCCAAGATACTTGGCTTTGATTTGAGGAAGGTTCCTCTCATCCTGAATTTTTCATTTTCTTGTAGTAACTAATTTTGGGTAGAGCATACATACGTGTCACTTTGTGCTTGTTTTTTATTACAACTCAGATGTATTATGTGTTAATTAACATAGAATGTGCAGTAGTCTGTGGCTTCCCATTTTGGACATGTAACGTTCAGTGGTTACCTATGAAACTATTTAATCCTTGAAGAACGTCAGGATGTTTTTACGTGTATTTGAAATGGTAGCAGTCTTGTTCTTTGTGGATTGGATGCTGTCTGTGACAGTGTGCTCTCAAGTATTTCAGAGCTGAGAATGGTACGCTAAGCAGCCAAGACACCAGCTCTCACAGAACATGCCCAGGTTAACAAATAAATAAAAAAGCATGTAAGTAAAGAAAGCTAGAATAAAGATATTAAGTTTATCTAAAATGTACAAATGTAAAAATTGTTTTCTTGCACTCTAACCTAGCATTAGGACTTTTTTCCTTGATGTTTGCTACAGAATATAGTTGTAAGTTATGATGGTAACTTAAAAAAGAATTCCTAATGTATTTTTGATAATCATCTTCTACCTTAAGTCTCGTAATCCAGACTCTCTTTATTAGTTTGGCTTGGATTCAAAGTGAAAATAGTATTTTAACAAGAGACACATGGTAAGAGCTTATGTGGTCTAAGTTTATAAGCATTTAATGTTGATCAATGAAAAGAGGCTAATATTAACTATTTTTCTAATAAATATTGCCTGATTTTTCTTCTTGCAAGCTCTCGGACGTATCTGTGCATCTCTCCTATGTACACGCAGGCTTGCAACTTACTTAGTTGTGCTAGATTGCTTTGTAGTTTTCCAGTTGAAATATGAATAGTAGAAGTACCTTGTTTGAATACAGGGAAGATCACTAGAAACCTTTGACAGTCCAAAAAGGCAAACCCAAAACAAAAAAACCTGATGATGGACAGCTGTAGCTTCGCTGTAGTTCTGAGTGTTTACAGAATTGTATTGAGCTGTCTTTTCCAAGTTGGATTTTTTCTGTCTATCAAACTGCTTCAATCTTAACATTTTTTTTATTTCATTTTGTATTCATTTAGAAATGTTGTTTTCATATGTATATACACACAAGCATGTATACAGTCAGTGTGTATATGAACATATGTTCCAGTAAATGCAATAAGTGTTTGTGGACTTAGTGCATGGAATGTTTCCTTCTATGTCCTAGGCAGGTGAATTGCATCTGAACAACAAAAAAGTTTTGTCTCAGTGCTCCCAGCCTCAGAAAAATGAGAAGCATTTGTACAAAAACGGGTGGTTCCTTTCTTTGTTTAAATGATTATGGAAACGTTGCTCAGCACGCTGCTAGGATTTAGTCTGCACTTAGATTTTAATCTCAGAACATGCATTGTGTTTGTTTCTCTTTAGCTTTCTGGAAGGAGGGAGGCATGCACCTCTAAGCTGCTGAAGCAGGGAATTCCTAGCTCGGTTTTATTGTCATCAGGCATAAGGAAGCAAAGTTTTCTGTTTTAGTTATGTTACGTTAAATTCATTCTGATGTCTTGGTCCTATGGATACTTAGGCAAATATCTTAGGTGCCATGAGCGGTGTAACTTGAGCAACATTGCTCTTGTTTGATGTAAGGTACCTGTGGACGTTTGTGGAGTGTCACGGACTGAAAATGCATCATCTTGATCTAGTATGCAGAAGGTTTTCTTCCTAAAAAGTGAAGTAGATGCAACCGCTACAAAGAAACCTTTTTTATGAGTTGATGCAGAAAAAGTTTGCATTGGGTCTTTTGCCCACAAACTGTATAGGCTGCTGGAAAAGCCAGGTTTTTATTGAAGGGCAAGGGATTCTTTTTTCAGCTGGGAAAAAAAAATGACTTATGATGTATTTCTATTTTTGCAGAAAGCATGATCCCTTTCTCCCTCTTTCTTTTTTTAACAAAAGATATTGTTTTGATTTATTATGTCTAACCATACAATTATCAATGCAGCATCCCATAACTAATGCTGACCCACTCTCCCAGAAAAGATGTTCATTGTGCATTTGAAAGGTTTGAAAAGGTTTTTGTGGTTTAAATGTTGTTACATATTTTACAGCATTAGGATCTATGGAATATTTTGACAACTGCAACAGTTCAATGAAGTTGGTAATTTCTTCTTTTAATTATTTTTCATTGAACAGATTTGGAGTTAAATTTTTAAGGCTTGTGTTCTGGTATATTATACAGGAACATTTTGATGAAATGTCATACATTTTTTTTTATTATTATTACAGATTAGCTAGAGATTGACTGTAAGAGTAAGGCTAAGCATAAGATAACCACGGATGTATAATTTTGACAAAGCAGTGTGGTGTTACTTTCAGCTAGTGACTGTACGTGTGTGACTGCACATCTTGTAGCTGAGCTGGTGCATGGGCTGCAGAGACTACATTCAGCACCTTAATCTACAGCCAGAGTGGGAAATGAGGCTGGCTTTATGCATTTCATTAAGTAAAATACTGGTTCATATCAAGTTTCAGTTTTTTCCACTTTTTCCCCATCCCCATACTGAACACTGTGCAAGTAATATCTCAAATAGCTTCCTGAACAGAGTATTTTATCTAAATAAAATACAAATAATCTCAGTATTAAAGATGAAAACATCTTCTCCAGATGTATTGTTTCCACTTGTGTATGTGATCGCATTGTTTTTTAAACTTCCTAAAAAGATGCTACTTTAAAAGATTCCTGCTCAGCCCCTCCTGTCCCCCAGCAGACCATGCACTGTTCTTAAATCTGCCAGCCCTGTTTCAATGTCTAGCTGGAGGAATTTGCAACAAGTCGTCTGTCAGAGAGTAAAGAATACATCCTCAACTGGCAACTACTAAAATTGAGCTTACTCTTAAAAAGAGAAAAAAGCCCCAAGTGCCACCTTTCACACTTATATCCCCGTACCCCCTTTCCAAAGGGGAGGAAAAAAACCAACACAAAAAAACAGATGAAATATCCCCTGACCCTATGAATGAACGTTCACTAGCACCCTTATAAATTTTAGACTTTTCTTTATGTTGTTAACAAAGTGATGTACTTTATGATGTACTACATACAGTATGATGTGAAATTTTATTTTTCTGTTTAATTTTTTTAATAGGTAGGACGTTAATCAGCTATTAAATCAGATACATTTGATTAAATGCAGTTATTTTCACAGTAAGGGGTAACACTTTATTTTAAGTCTTCAGTCTAAATCTGTAGTATGGGCACTAGCAATGGAAAATATGTTAGCCTATGTAGCCTGAATTTTGCTATGCTCAGCTCTGTTGATAATGTAAGATTACCTGTGTTTACTAATATATACAAAGTTAACATTTTCATTATAATTATCCTGCCTGCAGTTATTTTTGTATTTCTTGCTTTAACTATTATTGTGTTAAACACGTAAAGTGAGTAGAGAACACTTAAAATAAAGCATACCTTCTTCAGTTTAAATTCATTTCCAACGTGCAGGTGTTGGATAACTCTTAGATGACTTTTTATTTAAATAATTTTTGTTTAAATGATAATTAAAGATTTACTTATCTAACACCTTAATTTTTGTTAGTATATGAAATGACTGTAGTACCGTATTCTAAATTAGCTTCATACCTTAGTTTTATGCAATAAATATCCTAATATTAAGTGAACTAACTTCTTTCCCATGTTAACATTCTTTGTAAATTATTTTTTCTTTTCTTGCAGCAAGGAGCAAATAATGCAGAAAAATTTGACTACGTAAGTGAATTATGACACTTCATTTATTCTGACTAAAATGGGCGGTAGCCACCTTAAATTTCCACCTACAGTTAATGTTGCTATTTTAAGTCCTTTCAAACTCTCCTTGATCTGTATTTGGTTGAATAAAACATCTCATGATTTGGGCTGTGTTTGCAAAATTACTTTGCAAGAGGCTTAGGGTAAGGCTGGGTTGAGTGTTGATCAGTTGTAATTCTTATATCTGAAAATGTTAGCTTGCCTTTTTTTTCCCCCTTCCTCTCTGTCTTTACTAGGTTATGCAATTCATGAATAAAATGGCTGGTAATGAATATGTTGGATTCAGTAATGCTACGTAAGTATTTTTTATGTGCTTAATACCTCAACTGATAGTTGGCATGTTGAGTGTACAACATAAGTTAGTTATTTATGTTGAAAGCCATCATTTAATATTACAGGATCTAGCTTAGATTCAAAATTATCAAGAAATCAAGTTGTGCATGTTTCTGTGTTGCTGTGACTGGTCTGATATGGAAAGGATCATGTTCTCCTTGAGAAATTATTCTGTCACAGTGCTGTGGTTCTATGGCTCTGAGAGCTGTAAGTGCAAATCTTACCTTTCTGGCATTCATTCCTTGTCTGGTTTGGTCCCAGTTATCAGTGAACGATGCTTTTGCTGCAGCATATTCTCAGAGGTCTTAGTCTATCACTGCCTTTTTAGAAATGCTTCTAAGAGAATGATCTTGTACTTCTTTGTGTTAATTACCAGTAAAACTGTGTATGTATAGGTAACCAGTTGTGTATGTTCAGATGTTCAAGTTTGACTCTAACTTACTTCAGTCCAATAGAGTGCACTGGGATGAGTTTTAGGACAGATTCTGGTCTGTTAGTAGAATGCTTGTGTTCAGAAGCAGTGTATTTTTTACCTCATGCATCTCTGATTTCTTGTTGCTTGGTTTCAAGGTTCCAGTCTGAAAGAGAGAGTGGAGATAGAAACTTTGCAATTGGCTATTACTTGAAAGAGAAAAAGGTTGGTCTCTTCTGTTTGTTGTATTTTGAAGATTGAAGGCTTTTCGTAGTCTATGAACTTTTAAAATTTTTTTTTATTTTATGTTCACAATCATCTAAATTATTGTAATACTGTACATGTATTTCATACTGTCGCTCAAAATGTCCAGTCTTATGTAGGGTGTGAATACATGTCATTTTAACAATACCTGTAACCTCGTTTCTGTATTACAGGTTAAATTATCACATCCTAAATGCATGATCCATGTTGTACAGATGACTTTGTAAGACTGGATGCGTTTTGTTGTTGAAAAACTTAAAGCTGCTTAATTTTACTTAAAGACTTTTTTTTCCTTCCTTCAGTGCTTTCCGGAAGGCACAGACATGGTTGCTATACTGGACTTTTATTTTCAGGTAATTAACTCTAAAATTGAGACTCAGAATGGGGTTGGAATTACTGTACTAAGCAATAGAAGCTTATTCCATCGTAGACGGGGGAGGTTTTAATGGCTTATAATTAAAGTTGTCAGTGTCTGTTGAACTGTTTGGAAATGAATGGTATACATTTGATATATCCAGATTTGCTTTTGTTTAAGTGATGCATATAACTGTTTTTATTGCTAATGCATAGTAGTAGCAGTCTATGAAGCACTAGCAGTTCAAAAGCTAGTTCAAAAAGAAATGTTTGATTGCTTGAATGAATTTGCTATACTTTATGATACTGTGGAGCACATTGAACTCATGCATAACTAAAATTGTATCTGCATGCCGTACTGTAAGCTCAACCATAGTGTTATAAATGAAATGACTTGAATATCTTCTCCTTTATTGTTGAACTTGATGCATATAAGACAAAGAATCTTTTCAAATGCGTTCTTCCTTCCCCCTTGTTGCTTGCCTCACGTTAGTAACTGTTTGCAACAGTCACAAACTGAGAACTTGGCAAGTGTGAGGTATTTCCTAAGAAAGAGTTTCCTAACATGAGAATGTGCATAATTCACAATTCAGTCAGATCTTATGCATGCAGTTCTCAAAAGGCAGTTCAAGTTGTGTTACTGATCCAGTCTGTCAGGGATATTATAAAAAATCCAGAGCTTAGTTCTCAGGAAGTCTGATTTAAATTCACGATACTTGCTCTTACCTGTGCAAACTAGTGTTTTTAAGTGCAAATTTTGTCTGAGCCTTTTTTGTTTGGGGTTGCACATCTAGTCTTGAAAGTGAACAAAGCTTTATAAAGTATGTATGCAAATTCAACTCAGTTGACTTCTTAAGTTGGAAACTAGATGAAAACCGAAAGTCTGCTCTGAACTTGTGTTATCACAGAACAAAGCAGACAATTTATTTCAATTTACTGGTTAACCATCCTTGCAAAATGCTTCCTACCCCACTGCCTCAAGTCCTGGTATGCTTCTGAGTGCTAAGCTTTTCACACGTTAAGAAAGGCCAAAACTAAGTTTTCTGATGTAGCCGTAGTCTGGCCTTGTTAGTGTGCATGGTGATCCTCACCTTCATGATTATCATTGTTTCTTTCTTATCCCTGTTAAAATGTCCTTTTTACTCCAAACTCAGAAAACTGGAGGCACGAACATGAGTGCCGCTTCTCTGAGTGGCAAGTCAGTGTTTTGTTTTCATTGCACAAAGCTTCTTTTTCTGCTCTCAGATTCTACTTAGAAGGCATTTTTTTTCCCTCCTTCCTTACTTGTTCAGTTGGGAACCAGTAATAAACTTACTTTCATGTTACCTGTGTAAAGTGGGGAAGGATTACTCTAATTTTGCTCAACCAAGGTACTAAATGTAGGCACTTAAACTGAGAACCTTGAAGCACTTTCTTCAAAGTAGGTGATGTTCTGTAATACTTCATATGTTTAAAACCCAGTTGCCATTTTAGATGCGTCTCAGACGTTCTCTTGATTTGCAACTCCAGTTGGTTGGACTAGGATGTATTGAGTTTGGCAGCCGGAAAATAAGAATTCCAGGTAGTAACTACTCGTGCAAACTTGGCTTAGGTAACTTCATGAAGTATCATGTAATGACTGTTTGGCAAAAGTACAAGCACTAGTTTGTTTATTTTTCAGAGTAGCATTTCAGCTTCAGGTTGAAACCAGCTTATCTTTTGGTTTCTGCAGACATGAGGCAGCATCAGGTGATGGCATCATATCACATTTCCTGATGTGTCACCAAAGTATGTATAGTCTGTACTGAAGCAGGGATCCTGGGCGAGACTATCATGTGGTCATATCTCTAGATACATCATAAAGCATATATGAGACAAAGGTAAAACTAAGGCTATGCAGGAAATGCTAGCATTAAGACTTGTATGTGCTAGAGTGCACAGCTTTGAAATGTACTTTTAGTGGATGTGGGTGGTCTTGTAAGGCTTAAAAAAAAAAAAAAAAAAAACAACCAACAAAGCACTGCACCTCAATTTGAAAAATGGTTCCTTAATGGCTTTGCCAATTAAGCAAATACAGAATACTGAGGTTATTTTCCAGACTGGTTCCTCTGAAGGCAACCTAAGGGGGGTTGGGGGAAGGAATCAAACTGAAACACTAACTCACAAAAAAAAATAACTCAAAGACTAGTATAAAAGCTTACAAAAGCTGTTGCTGGGATCTTTTTATTTTGATAGTAGAAAGATTCAGATGATGTTAATTCATGCCACTAGTGTCATCTGTAACAAATGTTATGCTGCAGGTTATTTTATGAAATCTTATTTCTGTGGAGATGTAGTGGGCTGTTCTGTGCTAGAGGTACCGGTTTGTATAATATGACTTTCTTTTCCATAAGCTTTGCTCAATAGAAGTAACCTGTGAGTCAGCAAGTGTGATGGCAGCAACTCTGGCTAACGGTGGCTTTTGCCCAATCACTGGTGAAAGAGTACTCAGTCCTGAAGCAGTCCGGAATACCTTGAGTTTAATGCATTCCTGTGGCATGTATGACTTCTCAGGGCAGTTTGCCTTCCATGTAAGTAATTTTCAGATACGTGTTAGAGTTGACTGGGAAGATTAATCTGTGCTATTGTTTTCCATGGTCATCTTGTTTGCTTTTGCTGTGGGTGGGGGGGAGTTACATGAATTGTTTAGGAATCCAACGTAACTTATGGGAAATCCACAGAATCCATGGCACTACTTGTACTCCATACTCCATACTCATGGTACAGTGGCATTCCCAGCAGTTTCACCTCTGGGAATCCTTTTCACCCTGAAACAAACTATTCCTTAAATAAAGGCTGTTGATGAGAGAAATAGGTGACTGATGCAGCAATCACTGGAACCAGCAGAATTGAATAAGACCTGATGCAGGGGAAGTAGAAGATAGCAGGAAGCTTTTGTGAACAGTTGCTTTCTCTGACTCAGGATGTTTAATGAGTTGTCCTCATGTGTTGTAATAGTGATACAGTGCACAGCACGTGTACTGTAATGTACTGCTGGAAAACAAACCCTTCTGTGTGAGTATTTAAACATGTACTGCAGCTTAGTTGTATTTTCAGTGTTTTGAGTGTTTTCAGTTTTCCTCGTTCCATGGATGTAAAATTGAGTGTGATGCTTTGTGTGACCTAAAAAGATATTGCTTACTGAGCTGTGGGGATATGTAACATGTTGGTTACTGTCGAAACAAAACAATAACTTTGTTCAGATTGTAAATAAGTAGGTTGTTGAATGAATTAATGTGCAGGCTTTTCAGTTGTTTTTTTTACATTTTCAGTTAAACGTTTCTATAGTTTTGTACTACTCTCATGCTGTGAACTGCTCATGACAGACATGTTTATTACTGCTGAGTCATAATAGCTTTGTTACAGCAGCAACTTCAGGTTATCTTTTGCATTGTGTTACTGACTTCTGTGCTACTGAGAGCTAATAACTTTGACTACATGCCACAGATTGCCATGAACTGAGGTCAAGGTTATATTCCATCTATAAAGAGAAATAATCATGCTTTGTCAGTGTTTCCCAGATCACACTTTTATAACGGCTGTGTAATCTTTGGTAAAATAAATTGCTTGTGTTGTGTTACAGGGGTGACGAATGTTTGCAGAGGACAGTAATTCTCTAATTGTTTCATAGGTGGGCCTTCCTGCAAAATCTGGAGTTGCTGGTGGGATTCTTCTGGTTGTTCCTAATGTCATGGGCTTAATGTGCTGGTCACCTCCTTTGGACAAGATGGGCAACAGTGTTAAAGGAATTCACTTTTGTCATGTAAGCAGAATTACCTTTAGCATATTTTTCTTTTGTAGCTGGTGCTGACTGAGCTTCAGTTAGCATAGCTGACACTCCACCAATATAGTGATTTTTTTAATTTTAATTCTTTCTTAACTAACAAATTTCATCTGATCAAGGGTGAAAAACCGAGACAAGATGTTTGCATTTTATCATAAATAGCACTTAAATTTTGTGAACATCTAGAAACTACAGCACCAGAAATATGGGGAAATAGATTGCAGAAATACTTGGAAATGGAATGCTTTGTGACTTAACACAGGCATTAGTCTCCTTTATGCTGCATTAGAAGGTGTAGAACTTGATCTGGAGGCTTCTCTTCCTTTACGCTCAGAAACAGCTTTTAAAATGTTAAAAGTGCAACTCATATCATTGCAATAAAAGAGAAAAGAGTTTGATGAAATATAACTGTTTTGATTATGTTCTGATCTAACTAACGTAAACAGCTTTTGGTAAATAAGCTGGCAAACAAAAATATCTTCTACATCAGATGAAGTTGTTGAGCTAGGCTAGGTAGTCCTGGCTTTGTTTCTTGAGCGCTGTGGACAGTCTTATGTAAAACACAAGTGCTAGTATTAGAATATCATATGCATTTGACAATTGTGTATGGAGAATAATTTGTTCTTCCAATATTTGCAGGATCTGGTTTCTCTGTGCAATTTCCATAATTATGATAATTTGAGACACTTTGCGAAAAAGCTCGATCCTCGCCGAGAGGGTGGTGATCAGCGGGTAAGTTAAGATGTGTTCTTAGTGAGTATTGCTTGTAGACATCAGATGAGATATGGAGAGTTCTTCTATAAATGCAAAATTGCTCAATGATGTGTATTTCCTCAGAGCTTTCAGATAAACCAGTTAGTGCACATTATTAGTGGACACGTACCTTGGTGGACCACACAATGACAGAGTTTTGTACCACAGAATTTTATATTAGATTTGTAGCTCTATCTCATGCAGTTCATCTCCTTGGCTAGAGTAAAGCTGTAGTATCTGATAAAAGTCACCATCAGTTTCTGTTCTGATTTTAAAAAGAAATAACCAGCAGGAGAGCTTAGTCTTCCTGTTCTGTGTTGCAATGCAGGAGATGTATGTTGAGTATTGTTTTACATGATGTCTCTGAGTCCACATTGCTTGCTGAGAGCTGCACAGGCAATGAATGGAGGCCTCACGTTGCTGTACACCAGTGCCTGTTACCAAGGAAGCAGTAGATGCAGTCTGTGGGAAAGAAGTGAATCTAATCCAGCTCTATGTACAAAAGATAAGAGCATGAGGGTACTCGAGATATGGAGAAGCTTGCTTTTAGTCCTGCTAATGCTTTAAGTTAGGTGTGAAGCTTTCAGTGGGAGAAGATAAGAGAATGAAGTGTTTCTTGCATGCATACATCTGAAAAAATACCCAAATAGGAAATAGAATTATTTGTAACTGGAAAACAGAAAACAACAGTATATGTGCGGAGAGGTGAAAAACTTGGGTCTGTTAGCAATGATTGCAAATTAGGATTTTTGTTTCCTTCAAACACACTAATAAATAATGTATGTTGCTTGAACAACTAGCATTCCTTTGGACCAATGGACTATGAGAATCTCCAGCAAGAACTTGCTTTAAAAGAAACAGTATGGAAAAAAGTGTCACCCGAATCAAACGAGGACATCTCCAGAACCATAGTGTATAGAATGGAAGGTCGGGGAGAGCAGAACTAAGTGAATGGGTTCTAGTTTCATTAAATACTACATTTAAAAAAGCCTCAAGCATCTCTAGATTCAACTTCAGTCTGAATATTGTTTGCCTGGTATCTTCATTTATATATAAATTTTGTGTAAATTTGTATGCTATACCAAAAATGCTGTCAGAGTTCGAGGAGAAAAGCACACGTAAGCAACGCCAACCAAACCTGTTAACTGACTTCTGTCTTTACTTAAAGCACATTTACTTATTAAAAAAAAAATAGTAGATCTGAATGTTTTCAAAGATATACCTCCTGTGTATATCTGTGTATTTTTGTTTATATCTGAGAATTTTAAGTAAATTAATTGTAGAGCTAAGCAAGAGTTTAAGGTATGTCCTCTGATCAGGTTCAGCATGTAAAGATAGAATTCTAATTGAAATATAAAGTAAAATACTGTCAGTAAACTCACGAATCTCCAAATAACTGTATATTAAGTGGTTCTGAGTCACGTTATCACTTTATTTTACTAAGAACTTTCAGTTTGCTTTGAGCAGAAATGGATCCCTCTGATATGTCATGCTAGCAAAAACTATGCTTTTTTAAATTTGACCTTCAGTCATAATTAATTCTAACATGTAAATAAAAGAGCAAAATGGCTGGGGAAGACTGGGAGAGAGGGCAAAACAAAGCTTGCCTTGTTTGCAAGTTAACGAATGTGGCAGAAAGATTTCTCCCCAAACTATTTTGAGTGTCTTGCTAGCTGCTTGTACTGCCTCTTGGTAGTTATGACTCAGAAGTCTGCCTTAGTAATAATGCTGTGCTCCACCCCAGAGAGGAATGTAAGCAATCCTAGTTTTTGACTGGTAACCAGCCCAGTAGGGAGCAGGAAACGTGTTCAGAGTAAAGCATTTTTTGTTAGATATTCCAACTGTTTACAATTAACTTATTTTTCAGCCGCTAATGTGTGTGCATGTTCATATATGGGATTAGAGGTAGCATTTACTTCTACATGAGCAAATGTTCATGAAGTTATTATTCATAGCTCCTTTTTAAAGTGTTAGCCAGTTTGTACTGAATGTCAGCTTGTAGAGAATCAGGGCTTGCATTCTTCTGCAGGAAACTGCATCTCAATCTATGTAACATGATAATTTGACTTGTTTTGAGGACGATGTGCAAATGGTGTATGCAGGCTTTAGGCAGTGCTGGGCAGGGCACAGAGTTAATAAGCCCTTGACACTTAGCTGTTCTGTGAGGTTCTGAATGATACTAAAAATCATAAGGAAAAGAAAACCGAACTGCCAACACAAACCTCTGTCTATAAAATATCATGTTTGCAAAGAATTTGATATATTCCCCCCCCCACAGCCCCCAAGCACACCTCATGCAGGTGTTCCAGTTGTAAAACTGTGGAAAACCTGTCAGAGTGATGATATGGATATTCCTTCATCTATGTCCATTAAAGCTCATTGAGGATTTCAAGAGGTGTAGTGTGATAGATGATTCCTGGCAACACCTCCCGCCCTTCTCCCTGCCCACTGCTCCCATGTGTTGGTGATCTGAAACTCCAAAATGCATTTGTGCATCAGTTTTGCATAAGGGGAGAGTCTCCCTGTCCCTTTTTGTCTCATGTAGGTGTTAGTCAAGGAAGATGCAGAAAGCAAAGCTTACTTTCTCTGAGAAAACAAGCTGTTTTTAATTACGTTGTTTCGGTATTGTTTGTCTTGCATAAGCATTTGAAATAATACTAGTATTAAGCTCTGACCTAACCCTGAATAATCTTCCTCTAGCAGTACTTTGTAAAAGGATGAGTTTCCTGTGTTTGAAGCCTCTGAATTAAAATATTCGAGCAAAACAATACTGAAAGCCACTATTCAGTAAACATCAAGTCCTAGTGGATTATGTGTGCAGATGTCAGTAATAAATTGCTGAATATTAGCTATTTTGTAATTTATCACTGATGTTTGGCATAGGTCTGTCAGTGCTTACCTTGAAAATAAAGTGAGACAAGTAAAGGCGAAGTCTTGAATTATAAAAATTTCTCATCTGTTTGAGGACTTGTCTGTTGAATAGCAGCTACAGAGATGTAACAAGTATTCAGAGTCTGCAAAACTGTGTTTGCCTGAAATATCCCCAATTAGAAGGGGATGGTAATGTATCTGTGCTGCTAACTAGAAGTACTTACAGTGATTATATGTTGCTGATTAAATTACTGATGTAATTAAAAAAGGATGTGTGATGCAGGATTTGCAGCTACTAAAAGTGTATTTGGAGATGGGAAATCCACGTCTTTACCATGTTTATGTATGTAAATTGCATACCAAAGCTTGTGGTAGAGGTGAGTCCTGCTTGAGAAATTAAAAAAAAAAAAAAAAGAAAAAGAAACAAGGAGCTGAATTGATCTTCAGTATGCATCATATTTAGGGTACAGCTTACACAGCCTTTACTTTAGATCTGTATATATTCCGGTTCCGTAATACACGCTTTTGAAGCCTGTCTCGGAATTGAAGCCAGCCTCAAGTTTGGAGTGGCTAAGAGGAGACTCTTTTGGACCAATTGTTCTGTAAGTTGCCTGCAATTTGGTCTGAGCTGTCCACAGGTGGCCCTTTCTAAGGGCAACCTGCACAGAGAGTGAGCTGGGACCATAGTTAGATCTGCCCTGGCAGCTTGCCCACACCTGTACTGCTTGGTGAGTGGGCCTGAAAGAATGTGGTGGTAGAGGCTAGTTCATTGAATGTCGAAGTCTGCAACGGTTTTAGTGTTCACCTGTGCTACAGTAATAGCAATTCTTGATATTCAAGCATTTTAGCTGTTTGTTTGTTGTTCTTTGTCAGCATCATTAACATTTCATTAGAAATGTAAATGCTTTTGAAGTTTTATTTTGGCATTTGTGTTGTACCCTTTGGCTCGGTTGTTAAGTTCCCTGTCTCATTTTCCATTTTTCATTTGCATTGTATGTTATTTATGTATCTCAATTTCTAGCATGCTTATTTTTGTATTGTTTAATAAATTTATTTTAAGCTGATTTTATTGTATTTTTTTTTTTTTCACTCAATGGAGAACAGGTCTGTTCAAACACGTTTTTGAGACTGAAGTGAGATAGTGAGCACTCTGTTCTAAAAAGAGCTGAAGTTCTGGAAGGGTAAATAGAGCAACCAGATTTAATTGGCCAGTGAAAACCTTCCTAAGATCTCTCAATTAAATCATTAGCAGACATGCTTATTTTTCTCTTTGTCTGAAAGTCAAACTCATAGTAGCAAAACCTCACTGTGACTTTGATAAAAATGAGGTGCAGTAGGATTAAGAGTGTGTGGTTTTGAAGATATTGAGTTGCTTGGAAAATAGGCAGTCAATGGTGCCAGTGCCAGAGCAGTAACTGTTGATATGGAGCACTACGAAGTAAAAAACAGAGCTTGTAATATTTCATACGCAAGAAGGAAGGTGGTGGGTGTGTTTTTAATGTAGATGATTCTGAGATGAGACTCTTTCCATAGAGGAATCCCCATGGTGGGGATGGCCGTAGTTATTCATCAAGCTTTCCTGTACATGGGCTTATAAACAGCAGTTATTTGTACTGCATTTTTAAAAATAAGCTGGATCTTCATTGTACATTTAAAAAAAAAAGTTTATTATCAAAAAATCGTGAAGACAAGGTTGAACAGCAGTAGGCACAAAGAGAACTACAGGTGACTTACTCTACACTTGTTTTTGTCTATTACAATTTGCATTACATTGTGCTTGTTTTGTCAAACAACCCGTGGGTGGGAGGATGAATGGAAAATGGAATGGAAAGATGAGAGGGGGGAGGAGGGCAGAGGGAGAGGAACAAGAGTTTGGTTCTTCAATTGTTTATCCCTGTTAGTTGATTCTCATGGTTGTGATACGTGTCACTGATTGAGTTTCAGCATTATGTATGTTTTGTTTTAGTATCCTAAGCATCGTTTGTAGGGTTTTACTGGATGGGATGGGTAATGTACAGTCCCATTTTTGTTTCAGGAACTTAATTCCTTCTGTGTTGATTAGTTTGTGGCAGTCCCAATTATTGCATTGAGAGTCAAGTGTATTTCCCATTTGCTCCTTTCAGAGAATGCTGAGTATGGCATTGAAGTGGCTTGTTTCCCTTTGCTTTTTGTGTAAGACAGTGGTAACTTTATTGCTCTATGTGGACTTCTGATGTCATTCAAATACTTACCATGTTCAAGTTTCTGGTCTTCAGCATCACAGCTCTGCATATAGTTGAATTATTTCTGGAAATAGGCGTGTGCTTTTTTTCTGTGCGCAGCAAGCCTTGCATAACAGTTACATCTGAAGCTACGGTTTTAAGTTCTAAAATAGAATTTGGGCTGGCAGAAATGATGGTGCCAAGTTCAGCACCAGTTGAAATGCTTTAAAGCGTAACTAGGCAGTGAAGCCAAGGCAGAGGCATGACGTATGGTAAGGCTGCTGCAGTTAACTGGTTCATGCCACATTTTTGAAAAAGAACAAGAGCTATGTTTAAACGTTGGCAGAATAATAGAGACCTTGTCACTTCAGCACTAAACCTGATGAAACAGAGGTGGGTGAAAGACTTCATAACATTCTTCTACCCTCAAACATGTCTCAGCCAGCCGTACTTAGGATATATTTCATTTATGCATAGGACGTGCAGCAAAGCATATTTGTTATAAGGTAATACATGCCATTCTAGATGCTGCTCTGCCCTGATGACCACCTAGCTGGCACACAGCTGGCGCTTTCTGTAGATGTTTTCCTGATAGCAGCTATGCTTGCAGAAGTCATAAGTTGTCTTCTGTCTATCATCTTTCCAGATTTCTTCTAACCTCTGTATCTGATCAGCAAGGACAGGTCTTCTCAGGTTAAGTAGCACTGTTACTTAGTGAATTATATGCAGTTGGTAGCAATTCTCCTAGTAGAGATCAGTGTATGATAATTTCATGGTTATTTGGTCAGGCTTGGCATATACCAGGTGTATTGGTATATTCTTGTATTTGCGTTCCTGTGAACCTCTGCTTTGGTTTCCAACATGGTGTTTTTTCAGGGAAATTGCTTCAGTTAGATTGCTCCATATACGTTTCTTGAATATTCTGAAAATAGTGAATCTGAAAAAGTAATTGCTTTGATATAGGATCAAAAGCAACTATTATTTTCAGAACTGTTTTTTCTTTGTCAGATCCTTTAATTGCGGAGTGCTATCAAGAGGGCTATTCTCTTGAATTGTCAAACACCTGGTATGCACAATTTAAAGTATTCACGTGATTATAAACCTTCTTGTGCACACCATGAGTTGTGAGTTCATCTTTAAATGGTATATTTTCCTAAATCAGGATAATTATACTAATACTTATATGGTACACTTATATATATGGCCACTATAGCCCAGTATTATAACACTGGAAGTGATTTAAGAATTTAAGACTGTAATTCATTAATTTTTCTGGTAAAAACATAGCAGGCCAAATGCAAACTCAGAAATAAGTTATTTGCTGAGGGACAGTGTGTTACTTTTAGGATCACTTGTGATCGCAGTAATTACTAACAAAACAATGAGTTGTGAACACAGAGCTGAGTGATAGGAAGAGATAATGTCGCTTGCTTCCTGTTGATGTGATTCACTTACCCAACTTTTTCCTTGAGGCAGGCAGCTTTATTGTTTGTCCAGGAATTACTCATTTAACATCAACATGGATTTTTTGAAACTGATAGACATGGCTTTGGTTATAAGAGCAGCTATGGCTTTCAGTACAATAAGTGCATTTCACACTTGTTAAAGGACCTCTGTTTTAACCTTCGTGAGCATGTAATTGTTGAAGGACAACTGCTTAATATGTAGTTTTGGTCTGAGAATAAACTGAATAGTTGAGTAGATTTTACCTAATAAGCTGGTGGGCAGTAGTGATTGTTCCCAACAGTAATTGAGTTAAAAGCATGGAGGTGAAAGATCACTTCAAGATAATAAATGCTACCAGACCAAGAAGAAAGAGGATAATGAAAAAAATAAACTGGAAATTAAATAAGCTTTTTTAGGAACCTGTTACTGATGTTTCAGAAGCAATCCTTCCAAGAGTGGAGTGCAGACTTCTGGTAAGAATGTCCCTGCTCTGATGTCAGCCTGCAGGTTGGTGTCTGCCTCATCCATGTCAAGTTTGGCTGAATGCCTTCATCCTCTTTACTTTTGGAATAATTCCAGTTCCAGATCTTGTAGTTTAGAGTATAACTTCATCCATAAATTGCAGAGTATCTGCCGACAGGAAACCAGGAGCATTGCTCTGCCCATTGTGCAGCTATTAGTTGTGGTCAGTAGGTCCTTGAAAGGGCAGACACTCTTTTGTCCTATCTGCTTAATACAGCTTGTGTCACTAAAGCCCTGGTCAGCACTTTGCTTTATTCATTTGGCTGTTGTTTATTCCAGTCCTTTGGTCCCAAAGTTTGCAGAGTTAGTAATGTCTGTATCCTCTACTTCAAAGGCTCTTGTTTTTGCTCCTGCATTCAGAATCAGCTCATCAGTGTTCATTCCACTTGTTGAGATTTCTGTGTTTATTTTGTATGCTTTTTGCTGCAGAAGTGTTTGCAGTGGATGTTCTGTAAAAGGACTGAAAAGGGACTACAGATCAGATGACCTTAAGGATTCCTACAATTGTTTTTTGAAAGATGTATTATTTTACCATTTGGGTATTTCCAATCATCATAATTTCATTGGTGCTTAAAAACCTCATGACCTCAGAGGAAATCAAAGTCTTTGAGAGGGTCATTTGTTTTTCTCCATTATAACTGGGGAGCTTTGAGCATGGCAGAAGATTCAAGTATACCTACCCTAAAAGACTGATGGTGACTGTGTTGTCTGCCTAAAACTGCAACTTTGAGCTTTGTCTTCTGACTTGAAGGATGAAAGTCTGTATGCCTCTTTATGCCTTAAATGTTTCACCTGATCTGGTAAAAACTTCGTGTACATGTTTGGCTCATTCATCCTTTGTCACACTGCTCATTGCAAACAACCCAGCAGCACCATCTTGCCTCACAAGGGCAGCAGTGAGGTTGGGTTTTCTGTTACTCCTCTTGTTGAGTTACAGTTCTCTGAATTGCCTGTTTTGTTATTTTTTCTGATTTAGTTTTTGCTTATTAGGTCTCTAGAATTTCTGGTTTCTATTGCGATTTGAGTTTATGAATGTCTGTGAATGGTGTTTTTTTTATTAGCTGTTGGGATTTGGAACCAATCAACTTTTGCTCTTAAGTCCAGTGGAAGATGATTACATTTTTTTTTTTTATTTTAGGTTTTGCAAGTTTTGTCAGTGATAATGCTTAATTCTGTTGTTTCCAAAATAGGAAGTGTCAATTCATTGATAGCAGAAGAAACCAGAAGTAGGGATTGAACATGACCATGTTTGTCATAATCTAGTGAAGACAGTTTTTATATTCGATTTGCTCCTTCTCCCAGTACTCTTCCCTTTCAAAACCAATATAGTTTTCTCCAAAGCAGAGCTCACAAATACTGAAAAGCATAGGACCTGTGCAAGTAATTGTTAGTGAGTAGCACTTGAGATAAGCTGCTGTTCTACCATAGTTAAGTATTTTCCCAGGCACGAGGAGGGAAGCTCTCCTGTTGCATTGTCATGTAAGCACTGAAGCAACAGGACTCTGTTTAGCACTCCTGTTACTGTTGAAAACTTTAGGATCATCCTTGAGCTGTTTGGTGGTATCCATATCGGGGCAATATTGGCTATATTTATCCTACTGTTTACTCTTAATATTCTACTCCACAGTTGTGTGATAGGATTCCTATAGCCTTTTTTGCAGGAGTTATCCTTCAGCTAGAGATGGTTCTGTTCCTGGGATCTTCTAACCCAATCCTAATGAAACACCTTTCAGAGCAGTTCTTCGATGGCAATTTGATCAGCTAGAAGGGTGAAGCAGAGACAGTGGTCACTGTCATCCCCAGCCCTCCTGCTGCCGTGCTTTGTGCCCCTGCTCTAATGATAGGGCACGTCTAATGATGGGCACACAGCAAGAGGAGGCTGCCCTGTGCACCCAGCACGTTTTTGTCACTCTGTTTCCTTTTCTTGAGAAAACTGAGTGGTGCCCTGCATGGTGTGGAAGGGATTCAATTCACCTTCTATTTGGCCTATTTGCACTAACTGTGCAGCTCCCATTCTGGAGTCAGCACTGGGCAAGGCTGGGTTCTTCTGCAGTTACAGTTTTGGATATTGGAGTGGGGAGCCAAGGAGCACTGCTGGCAGAGCAGCCCTGTGGGGTGCGTGCCTCAGCAGAGGAGTAGGGGGGTAATGTTCTTCCTGAGAGCTTCACTGACGGTAAGTGGATGTTTCACTTAACCTGGCAAGTTTTGGTTTAATTAAATGCAACTCTTAATTCATTTTAAACAGTCTTGTTATTTAGGCACATACCAGTTTGCTAGTACTTCTCAGTAGCCTTAGTAGAGCTAACAAGAATTGGTAATAAATGTGCAAACCAGTGCAGTAACAGCTCAGAAAAGCCAGCTGAACAGACAGGTTTGGTATTGTGCTGGTTTGTAGCGAGTCTCGTTTTTAGATGCTTTTCAATATCTAGATTATATGAAAGCCTGGGGAACAAAAGACTTCTACAGAGATGGGCCAAAAAGAAAAAAAAAAAAAAAATACTGTAAAATATCATGCTGCTGTGCTTACCATTTGCATCTTTTTGTGCCATTATACTTTTGCCCTTTTTGACCTCCCTTGGGGGCTTGATCTGTAGGAAGCGTGAATGGCAGAAACTCACTTGAAACCAGTGGGTGAGTGGGTGGAAATGAAAGAGGGAGGAATGTCTCTGCTCAGGTGGGCTGCCCATCTGCACCTTCAGCCTAAGCCTTTTTCAGTAGCTGTTTTAGCTTGAAGGAATGAGTTAGAAGGTTGTTTTTTCTGGTGAGAAGTCTTTAAGGTATACATTTTGTTTGCTTTGATGTTTCTTACACTGAACTGCATGCGCAGCATCTGCAGCAGGTACTGAAGCTGAGCTGCCTGCTGGCCTGTTTGCATCTGAGCACTGCTGTGTCTGAATTGAGCCCGATCAAAACTTCATCAAGCTCCTAAAGAAGCAATGCCAGTATCTACTTCTCTGTATGAAAACTTAGAAGTCGGAAGGGGAAAATTACCAGTTTTACTCAAATAGATTGATTTTTACTTCAAGCTGTTTTAAAAGCTTAATTGCAGTAAGAAAACATTTGAAAGCATACTATGCGTTTTTTCTTTTTCTTTTTTTTTGTTACCAGCTTGATAGGCAGTTTACAAATAACTGACTTTCAGGCTGGTGTAGGTACTGCTGCTGAGTTAGCAGCGGTCAGCAAACAGCAGCACCTGTCTGAGGCCTGGCACGAGGACTGCCTGTGGCACCGTGTGTGTTTGGCTGTGGGAGCTGCCTGGCTCAGTTAATTACAGGTGCTTGTTTTCTAAACTCAGTACGTGGGTCGTGCAGGCAGTGGTTCAGGCTGGCTCCATTTGGGAGACTCTGAAAACCCCCTCCCTGGGGAAAGCTGCTGGTGCAGCTTGGGCTCTGACTCATGACCATGCTGAAGTCAGGGCAGTGTGCACCATCTAGAGGGAGAGCTGATGTACGATGGGAGAGGAAAACAGGCCGCCTTGTTTTCCTGTGCTAAACTTGCAAAACACTGAAGAGTAAATATTTGCAGGTTCTATTTTAGTGCTTTTTTTTTTTTTTTCAAATGAGGTCAGAAAGCAAGGATCAGTAATGCAGAAAATAGTCAGAAGTGTGTGTGTGTGGGTGGAGTGCTGGAGAAGAAATGTGTTATGGAATTGCTGGCCTTGTTTGTAACTTCAGGTATTTGTGTGGGTAACGTTAAAGTGTACGCAGTAATTGGCTTGTGTATCCTGCCACTATTTATATTGTAATGGAACAAATACTTTCCCCAAGAATTACAATTTTCTGCTTTTTCAGTCTACAGAAGTGCTTCTGACAAACCTGCCTGGAGTGGGATATTTGTTTGTGGCTTAGTCTTAATTTTTACTTCTAAAAACTGACTTCTTACCGTTTGGTAATACTCTTGATTTCAGGGGAAAGAGTGCAGAAGCTCAGCAGCAGAGCTGTTGGCTTTGTTTGGAATTTCTTTTCCTACAAAGTACAGCTTAATTCCTATTAGAGAGTGGCATATTCAAGCAAAAGCACGCTTGTCTTTTAGACTTGACTGGGATTTTCCACACAAGCTGTGGAGATCTGTCCCCAGAGGTCAGATTCCAGCTTACTGTAAATGAGTTGCAGCTGTGAAAACGCTTAAAATGAGCAGTCCTGTCTGTTGTCCTTAGGGTGAGTGTGCAGGGAGGGCATTTCTCTGAGATATCTCATGGTTGGTCTTTGTTCACTTTCAAAGCTGAAGCTTCAGAACCAGCTGGGGGCCGTTTCTGGCTGCCAGTGAGAAGCCCTGTCTGCAGTGAGGATTGCAATCCCAGCTTGTGGCAAGGCTGTGTTGCAGTTCAGTGTGGGAACCCGGGTGACCAAAGCGTTCATATGTGCTTCAGTTTCACTTCTGCTGTGTTTCTTACAGTTCGTAGCTGCTGTGTCAGAGTTGATGTTGTATTTTGGGTGTCAGGAATGTTTTGCCACTGATAAATAAGCATTGAGAGACCATCAGCTCCCAGGAGAGCAGCAGGGCTTGCTCTGCATGCCGGATACCCCTTGGGATGGGATCAGCTTTAGGAGCAGCAGCAAAGTGCTGACGGCACTGAGCCCAGCTCCTCCTGGTTCTGGAGTCTGTGTGACTTCAGCTCACATGAGCTCTTGGCTTCACGTGTCAGTTTGAAGGCTGGGACAGCAGGACGGTGCTCAGCAGGCGGGGCTCTCCCCAGCACGAGGCGTTAATCTGTAGCTTAAGATCTATTTTTTGAAGCAGATTGCTGAGCCGGTGCTGAGCAGCTTAGTGCTGCTGGGTGCTGCCTGGTGAAGGGCCCTGGGCATGCTCCGACCTGGAGGCCTTCCCTTTCCCCACTGGCAGCTGGGTTGGGTTCCTCAGCACTGCGGCCAGCAGTAGGGCTGGGGCTGTGCGGCCTGTGGTGCTGTCGCAGAGATCCTGGCCGAGGTGCTCTCAGGCACCACAGGAAATTGAAGTCCAGATTGAGTGACCTTTTTAGCAAAGAGCTCGTGGAATTAATCCAGCTCTGAGCTAAATTAATGTTTTCTGAAGGATTTGTTGTGCCCCCAGGGGCAGCTGCCAAGCTCAGCCTCCGGCTGCCCGGCTCTGTCAGTAACAGCAGTGAGGATAGGTGGCAGAGCTGTTGTGTGGGATGGAGCCTATCTGCGTGCAGTGAGTGCTTCTTGCCTCAGCCTTGAAGGGGTTCTCTGCTAACTGCCCTGAGAGGAAGGCTGATGACGGGTGGCTTCCCCATCTGGGTTGGGTTTGGGGCACAGCTCAGCCAAGAAGCACTGCTTCTTCATCAGATTTGTTCATTTGGTACACTGAGAAAGTTTTACAAACCAACAAATCATTGTCCTTCCCTGAACTGTTTTGCCACTGTGTTTGCAGAAAAATCTGGGAGGACAGTGTATGTGCTGCCCTGGGCACCTGCTCTCCAAAGCCCCTGTGTGCTATGGTGTGCTTCAGTGCTGAACGTGCCGTGTCCTCAAACCTTTTGGCATGATCACCTGGAAAGTGCTTCAGTGGCTGCAGTAGGAGCAGACTTGTTGCTCTCATGCCCATATTTCCTGTCAGAGCCGTATCTCACTTGCATCATGCTCTGGGAGTGTTAATTTTTCCCTTTTTGGCCCATCTTTATCTGAAGTCTCTGTACCAATAGTGCAGCTTCCTGTCTCAGAATGCTTGCTTCCTTTAGCTTCATCTCGGTGTGGTGGTTCAGACCCAACCAGCTGTGGTTTTCCTCTCCTCTCGTGCTGCTCACATGCTCACTGCAGAGCTGATGGTTAAAGGGACCTTGGAGGTCACTTGGCCAACCCTGCCTGAATCAGCCAGCATCGCAGAGAGTGGTGAAAACGCACACCTTGTTCTTGCAGAAACCTTTGGCAGATCTGTTTTTGGGCACTGATGTATTTAGTCTTTGTTCCTGTGCATGGCCAGTGCAGGACCAGCTTTCTGCTTTGCCCCTTGGCACTTAAGGCTGTTAGCAGCAGAATTTCATAGACTCCATTCAAAAAGTTCTCTGGAAAACAGGGGAATGGTGCCTAGAACTGCCGGTTCTTTTTATGAAACAGGCTGATGTGGTGTGCTTAAAACCATCTAGTTCATCCTTTTTGTCTTCTGTTAAAACTTGCTGAGTTACTGTGGCCAGGATGTGTTGAAGTACGTATGTGAGAGGGGGTTTGTAATCTAATGATAACATTTCTTACTGGGGTATTTAGTGCAGCTGAGAAAAGGACGATCTGCCTGAGCCTTCACCGATGTCATTGGATCTGAAAAGAACCTGCCTTTGTCTGCCTCCAAACCTCACTGTGCTGCCAACAATTCGTTGTGACAGAATTGCTTGCAATTGTTTGTCTTGCAGAGGGGCTTTCTTCAGATATATGCAAGCGACATCTGTAATGTAAAGCAGAACCATGATCACCTCTGCTCTTCTGCCTGCAGAAATCTCTCTTAACATTTGGAGTCTGCTCTAAAACTCTTACTTTCCCAGAGCAGCTTGTCCTGAGAGGTGCTTTGGTTTGTGGAGTGTGCCAAGCAATGCCCTCCATCACTCAGCATTCAGTATGAATAGGCAACGCAAGAGAGGAACACGGTTTGTCTATTGAGCAAGGGTCCTTTTAATTTTTTTTTTTTTTTGCACAATAGAACATGAATGCACATTTTGTGGTCCTTTTCCTATCCTTGTGACATCAACCTTGGAAAGATGGGCGCAGAAGTGCTATTAGTGAGGCAAGCTGGAATGAGTTTGAGAATTTTCATGCTGTCCTGCAAAGTGTGGCCAGGGAAGGGAATAAAATCAACCACTTCATAAGCATTGGAGCAGTTGGACCACACTGACTGTTGTTGGGTTTTCCATTTGTTTTCTCTTTAAAGGAAGAAGCAAAATAAATCAGGCTTCATCTCTCTTTGTAGGTGAAGTCAGTGATAAATCTGCTGTTTGCCGCCTACACGGGGGATGTGTCTGCACTCCGGAGGTAAAAATCTGCAGGGCTGAGAACAAGAGAGCTGCTGGTTTGGGGGCTGCCCTTGTTTGCTTCTAAATGTACTCTGTGTTGGTGCTGGGGATGTCGAGGCTGTTCTGGAGATGGGATGTGTTCTATACATGCTCCCCTAATCATTGCATTTTAACTTTTGTTTGGCTGAACACACTTGAAATGAAAGTTTAGACATTATACCTATGTGCAGAAGGAGAAGTATAAGGATGCATAGACTGTTACACCCCTTCCCCCCCCCCACAAAGATGCTTTAATTATTTTTCTTTATAACAGCTAAGGGTTTAGCTTTCTTCCTAATCTCTATCTTATTTTTGAAGCCAAGGCAGTAAGGGCCCCCTTCCTTGCCACTTGTTGCCATTTATATCCTCTTGCAACAGATGTGTCATCGTTCTAGCAGAGTGGTATTGTTCCCATCTAGTTTTGTAACTCATTTTGATTATATAAGGCTTTTCTTTACAATCAATTCCTTTTTTAGATTTGCTCTGTCAGGGATGGATATGGAGCAGAGAGACTATGACTCACGAACAGCATTGCACGTAGCAGCTGCAGAAGGTAATGTCCCACTGTGTATAACTTGCTTTCTGTTATTTTACATCTATGTAGATGCATGTTAACATACACACGCTCCCACTTCTGTCTCACAGGACACGTGGATGTCGTTAAGTTCCTGCTGGAGGCCTGCAAAGTGAATCCCTTCCCCAAAGACAGGTGCGTGGTTTTTAGTGCTGCTCTCCACTAGGTGGAGGTGAGGCTGCCATGTGTGGAGTTGAGATAGAGAGGCAGAAGGAACAGTCCTGCTGGCACTCCGCTGGTGCTCTGAGCAAACAGGAGTAAAGGGTAGGGAAACTGTTGTAAAACATTATTTCAAAGGTTATGCTCAGCTTACCAAGTATTTCCCTAGTTAGTGGGCCTAGAGTGTTTTGTGTACTTAACTGTTACTGGAGTATGTATAGAATGGGAGTTGTGCTGCTTTTAGCCCTGTGCTTGCATGCTGATCTTAGAAATACTGTTGTCTTTCTTGTAGATGGAATAACACTCCAATGGATGAAGCTTTACATTTTGGACACCACGATGTGTTTAAAATTCTCCAAGAGTATCAGGTCCAATACACACCGTCGGAGGATTCCAATAACAGCAAGGAGAACCGAACGGTTCACAAAAACCTGGATGGCTTACTATAATCATTCTCAGCTAGATCCTAAGAATCCAATCAGTTACCTATTTAATTGTGGTATACTTAAGTAACAAAGAGCGTGTGTGTTTCTATCCGATAGTGGTATATATTTTACAGAAGTCTCTGTTACTTCAGTGTTATGTTACAGGAGTTTCTATACGCACAGGACAAATCCAATCTCTCTCTCAAAAAGAAAAAAACAAAACCAACTAAGAATCTCCCTCCATAATGTGAGCAATATTACCTCATGCTGCATATAATTGATGTATACAAATATTTAGCTGGTGTTGGCTTTACTGTGCACTACTTAATTTATTTTTGTGTTCGATGTGAACTCTGGTGTGTGGTCAGGAATTTCTTTTTGCTCAGTTTTTGTTTCTACAGCCCTCTGTTTCCAGTATGGCCAAGATGAGCCGGAGTACAGGTGGGAGCGGCAGTGAGGTTTTTGAAAGCTGAGGATGCTGATGTAGATGTAGGCTGGGTGTGTTAGGTAAGGATCTGCACTCACTTCTTAAAAATAAATAAGATTCCACGCAAGCTTGTTTACATTCTATAAATCTCAAAAGAGTATATAGGTGACACTTGTCAATGGTCTTAGGCTTGTTTTTAGAGGTAGTCTCATTATGGAATCTGTTCTAAGGTTTGTTTGACCAAATGGCATAGAGGAGGGGGAGTGTGATTTGTAACACCTACCAGTGTTTAGGTTTTTTTGTTGTGTTGCTTTAGCATTTCTTTCAGTTCCCTTTGTCTTTCCTCCCTCCTCTCTCCGTGTTCAGCTGCTAAGGTCCTTCCCCGTGGATGGGGAAAGCGGGTGCTTCCACTCTATGCAGTCGTGTTCCTTGCAGGTATATTTGCACTTGGGTAAGCCTTGACAAGCTGTAAGACCCTGCTTTGGGCTGATGTCTTGTTCTTGGCAGTTGCATCGGGAACCAAGGAGGGGAATGCAGGCATGTGAAAGGCGAAACACTAAACCAAATACTACATGTAAATCTGACTACATTTAGGCTTATATGAGGAACACAGATGGAGTGAAACAGCTTTAAGGAGCATAGAGCCAATCTAAGCATGAGCGGAGCAGGAGATAAGCCAGATTTTGGGAACGTTCTCTTCTTGCGCTGCCATCCATCAAGGATTGGGATGTCAGTGGGGTTATGCTGGTGTAGGATAGGTGCTCAGCAACAGGAGCACAATTAGGTCATGTCTTTGAGCAGTGGCATTTCTTGTCTTACTGCTGGAGCAGCTTGGCACATGCTCTGTCATGGGAAATGTAGATGCAGATATTTTGTTGTTTGCAGAACTGTGATGTTACAGCAGTTCCCTATCCCACGTGCAATTGTTTTTACCAATGCTGTGCTGTGGTTTAGAAACCTCAGATGATCAGGGATTCCAAGTTAAGAGTCTGACTTTCACAAGACCCCGCGGTTGTTGGACGGAGGTGGATTTTAAAGGAGAATCGGTGTGGCACATGGAAATCATGTTTAAGAATAGCACAAACAGCAGGCTTTATGCTGGCACAAAACACAAGGCATCAGTAGATCTTGAAGTTCAAACTTTGCATGTAGGCACCAAAATCCTCCAGAATTGATGCGTAGATTCTTTCTAGAGTGGGCCAAGCACTTTATAAAGATGATCCGAACCACGTTATCTTTCTTTTGCAAATGGGGAAACCAAGGCATTGAGAGAAGCGTATTCTCCAGAATGACCCAGAAGGTCAGAACAGCTGAGAATAAATCCTCTTGAGATCCTGTACAGTCCTCTACTCAATATGCCATACTGCCTCCCACGGGGAGGAAAAATCAAATGGAAAAGTGCTTGATACTCATCACAAGCAGTGGCTGTCCTCATGCTGATGAAATCTTAGATGAATCTGAATGTCTAAAGCCCTGAAATCACCTTTCTGCACTGGCTGACATAGTTTTGCATGGTTATCAAACACTTTTTCTGAAGAATCTTACTGATACTAAGCTGCAGTGCTCTTTGTTCTTTTCTTCTTGAAGATCAGCTATTTTTCTGAGGCTTTCATACATTATCTAACCCATTCTCTTCACAACCTGTGTCACAGCCACCTTAGTTTTAGTTGAGAACTGAATCAAATGGCCTTTGAGCCACACTGCTCACTGAATAGCATAAGGCCTCTTCTCTGCTGCACCTTAAACTAAATCCCAACTCGTTTTCTCTGGCAGTGGATCTATTAAGTCAAGCATAGAGGAGTAAAGTCTTTCACCTGGGCTCTAGTATCCCGTATCTCAGTGATAATCTGACTTCTTCCATGTTTCTATGAAAACATATCCTTTAGCTTCTCAGAAAAATACCTGATTTCACTTCATTTAACTGAAACTTGCATTGCTCAAACAGGCATTTTTAAAAGGTAGGCTTATTATATAGTACACGTATGTACAAACCTCCCAAAAGCAGCATTTTAACTGGATTAACTTTAAAAAATCACGGCTGTCCCTAAACTTAATGCTTTCTAGATCCTACAGAGTGCTTTTAGCCAGTCTTAGCTTCAAGTGCATTTCTGCTGGATAGTTTTAGTATTTTCTCATTGTGAGAAGATGCGTTATTTTGTAACGTCCAATTAAGCAGTGCAGCTATTTAGACATGGCATTATTTATAAATATATGCAGTATATTGGTTTGGCTGTTCATCATCTATGACACTGACATGTAGGTTTTAACGTGAGTAGCTTTTGGTTATCTTATCAAATGCTGACTTCCTTATGCTCCAAAGAAGATTCCCTCACACCTTTGTTTTGTCACGTTTCTTCTGTACCATGAACTGAATTCAGCTAACTTAATGCTTTGTACTCAGAAATATTGTGATAGTCTTAGCATTAATTAGCCAACCTTTGTGAACAAAATGTATTGTACCAGATTTTTTTTTTTTTTTGCTTCAAAGCTGGACTATCAGTGACTATACTTATTGGCAGTGTACTTCTGGACATTGTAACTGACTGGGCTGATCTTGACTTCTAGATTCTGTCTTGTGGGGAACAGACAGTGATGAATGTATTTCTAGCAGTTTCCCATGAATGAATCTAAACTTGAGCTGTACTGGTTCTGAAAATGAAAGCTATTTATTTTAAGAAATAAAATCCAGATAGTGTTGCTTTTTACAGCATAATAAATGGAAATACCAAGAAGGTGGTGTGGTGGGTTTTCATTGGTTTTCTGTGTGACTGCATTGAAATGCAAACCTTCTGTCCTAAAAAACCTAATCTGCTCTCTTCTATTGTCAACCAAATGAGCTGATGAAGTCTACATGTTATATAGGGCTGTGTCATTTTGCTTGTTGCAATCTGTTAATGCTGCAGTTCTTACGTGGATTGGCCATATGCCCTCAACAGCTCTATCCTTCTCTTGCCCACTCTTCCATCCCTCATCTCAACAGTTTCTTTCCTTTTAGTTGTCTTCTGGATGTGTAAAATGTAAAAGCCTGAGCCAACAGATTGTATCACCTGATGGCTGCAGAGCAC